ATGGGGTATTCCAGGATTGATTCAGCTGGAGGATCTCACCACCGTAATGCCACCACGTTGGGTAAGAGGACGGGGACAGAGCACTGTCTCTGTGGCTCGACTTCCAGCACTGATGGCATCATGTTCTTTGATTCTTTGGACAGTGGAGTGTGAGGTGCCTTACGGTGCCGGCCCCCAGTGTAATGTGACTGATAGGCACGGGTGAAGGATTCAAGTCTGACCTCAGTCTCTCCTCCTGGTAAAGTGTCTCGTGGGCAGCAGGCAGTAAATGTCTGCATGCAGTGGTAGAGATATCTTACTGGTTAGAACATGAAAGGCCTTTGGATTAGATATTCCCTTTGGTAGCGAGAGATAACATTTAATTAAAGGAACTTTGGCAGACTACACCTTCCTTTCCTTTCTTGATAATGAGTTTTTAAAAATAGAACCATGAACTCAGGACTGTATGGTGGCTTTTAAAATTAGTTTTAAAAATATATTGACCCGTGGGATGAGTGTATATGTAATAGTTCTCGTCCAGCTGTTTCTTAACATTTGTTATCCTTACAAAACTGGACCGATTTTCTTCTTCCCATTTTAATTTAGCTACTCACCATTCTGACTTGGGAATGTGATATTCAAAATGAGTTTGTTATAAATAACTACAATTGTAGCAGATGACTGTATGTTGATTTTGGATGTAATCAGAATGACAGAGTTCAGCAAAGAATAACAAAGCAAAATGAGGGTTGGGGAAAGCCAAGTGTGGACCAATGTCAACCAACAGAACGAAGAAAATCAAAGGGAAACACACTCTGATGCTTTAGAAACAGCGGGCCAAGGACTCCCAGCAACCATGAATTAATGACTATTGAGAGTGGGCGATGGTTGTGTAGGATTCCATCATAGTGCTCCCTCTACTTTTATATATATTTGAAATGTTCAGTAATAAAACATTGTTTAAAAAAGCACATAGAGATTTATTAACATTTATTACATCTTTGTACTTGATAATGTACTTACAATACTTGATCATTAAAAGGAAATTAATATATAAACAAGAGCTACTCAGATCTAGAAGGAAGAGTAAGGTAGATGCTACTCTGATGTTACGTGTAGCACATGCCATGCGAGTCCAGGCGATTCATATTCCCAGATGCGGTTCCTGGCCAGCTCTAGGGTTCTATAATTTGAGGAGGGATAAAGCTGTTTAGACAGTTTTCCTCCATCATGCCAGGAAAACCTGGCAAGCACCACGAGTTCCTTAATTTAATCAGAGCACAGCTATTACAGTCCCCCTGCCTCCCCTCTCCCGCCCTGCCTGGTGTGCGACACCCCCGCCCTGCACACACTCTTAGTTGGATACTGTAATGTTGAAATCCCCCAGTGGATCCCAATTTTGGCTTAAACTTTCAGCTGGACTGAGTGTGGTCAATAAGAGCTTGCATTATGAGTTAAAGTAGAGATTTATTTTGAAGGCATCTCTGGGATTTTGAGTAAAGTAGTTGGGGTGGCCTTCAACACGTTGGATGTCAAACTGACTCATCAAGAGTGTATGTTAAATGTGTTTTTGGTTAAGTGCTCTGGATGGTGGGAGAGCATCGTGGGAGAACCAAATGTAAGACAGTTTTGCACTGACGAACCGTTAAGAAGGATAAGTGACCAACTCTCATAAAATGGCCAGGAAGCTGACCATGGCAGAGTGTGATGGATAGTTGCACTGTGGCGTCCAAGCCAGGCCCCAGAAGGGAAGCTAGGGGAGGTGGATGAGAATAGTACAATGTGAGGAGGAGGTGGGAACTGTCTCTGGAAGACGGGCTTATGCCAGCAGAGGGGAGTGGGAAGGGAGTATAGCGGTGGTCACAAGGCCTTGGAGTAGATGTTGGAAAGGAGAATGGAATAAATTCACTAAGAAGAAGCAATGGGGAATGATAAGGATAGAGATGATAATTGTAGCTAATTGCAGGGAAGCAGGAAATCAAGGTTCCAAAGCAGAGGTTGAATGATGAGCAGTTAGGAAGGAGTTGACTCAGTTCCCCTGACTGGCAGGGAGAAAGAAAGGAAAGGTGTAAGAGACGGTCTATATAGCATTGTGCACTGAAGAAGACAGTATACAAGGGAGGTCATGCAAGTTGGCCTCAATTATTGTCCGTTAAAAAGGCTCTGAGATCACCTCCTGCAGGTAGTGGGAAGAGGGCGTACAGGCTTGAGAGGAAAGGAGGCAGTCCAGAGGGCCACCACGGAGGGCCTGGGTGTAGAGGAAACATGGTGAAAGTCTTGCTGAGAAGGAAGAAGGTCAAACATGTTTTCTTCTTCCCTTCTTCCAATGTTAGCGAGCACCTTTCATTGTCATTTAGTTAGTGCACTCTGAGTGTCAGGCGCCAAGGCGAGTCTCCGCACAAAGAAGGCAGAGTCCGTTGGAAGAGAGAGACAAGTATGGAGCCAACTCTGGCTGGTCCATTCGGTGGCATACCTGCCATCCTCGTGCTGAGGCTGTCCTGTGAGGGGATAGGTAAGTCACGGAAGACTTCACAGACCAAGCCCCGATTGAGGTGGGCCCTAGGGAATGAGAGAGGGAGGGGGAAAGGGTGGGAAGTATAGTCTATGCAGAAGGTATTAGTGTGCATGTGAGCTTGCCGTGTTTGGGGCGTGGTCTGGAAGGTGGAGCCCGGCAGGTAGAGGGAGAACAGAGCCATAGGGGATTGGCCTAATGGGATTTACTTCTAACACTTTAAGGCAAAGATTGCAAAATTGGTAGGCATATAAATAAATGTGTGAGTAGAATAGACCTTTACCTACTTGAATAAATCAACACAATGCTTTAGAAGTCTGTAATTATTCCAGTAGTGGCTCTTAACCTTTATCTTCCTATAGTGACTTGTAGTATTTTTTTAAAAAACCAAACTACTCTTGAGTATTATGAGTGCTTATAAATACCAGTACAATATGGAGAAATGTAAGTGTGCTCAGCATGAGTCAATTTTTAGTATTTCTTTTTTATTTTAGGATAATTTTGTAGAACTGGTTTTAGAACATCTTATTTCCATACCATATGAGGCAGCTCCCTGAAGCACTTCTAGAACTTGCCGTAGAAACCCTTCATATCTTGCTATCATTTCCTTCAGTCCGAAGAAAGGCGACCTTTGCTTTTTGTCCTCACTGACTAGAAAGCTTTTCTTTTCTACCCAATGAAATGCATCTGTTGCTAAAACATCGTGTGGGATTTTAAAAGCAGATGCCTGCTAATGTTCATAATCAAAATGAAGAATTAAAGACTGTAGAGGGCCAGTCTCGGTGCTTTCTCGGATTGAGAACCTGCGTTACATGTCCTGGCTCTTCGCCAAGAAAACTGTCCTCGAGAAAGTACGTAAATTCCATTCTCACGGTCACCCCCAGAGGTGGAAGTCCCCCAGGCCACCCCATCAGACTCCTCATAACACTTGTAATTTCATTCTGGGCCCTTTAGTTTATGTGAACACAACTGTGCCACGGTGATAGTGCAGGCATGTGGTCAAGCCGCTGCTGTTAAAAATATTATCCACTCTAAATGCACATTGAGCGCTTACTAGATTAGCTTTTGATTCTTCTGTGGCCTCCTGGGAAATATATCCAGTGTGCCTATGTTTTTAGAAGAAACATCCTGCATTTTTTTGGGTAAAGCCCCTTTATGTGTGTGTGTATTTTTTTTTCCTTTCCAATACATGACTTTTATTATTCCCTGAACTAATATGGAAAAATGCGTAAGTAAGGAAGGCATAATAACATGTTAATTCTGAAATTAGAGATGTCACAACAGTTGTGTCCTAGGTGGTAAGGGTGGACAGTGTGTATTTTCTCTGCCTCTTAATCTGCAGTTATTTGCTTTTTCAGTTGACCTCTGGATGGCCCCGTCTAACCATTTTGGACTGTTCTGGCTTTTGTTTCTCTTGTATTTGAAAGAGGAGTCAGGAAATTCTACTGGGATTACATACTATATGGTTAGGAACTATTTAAATGAGATAACAAGGGACACATCACATATATTATTGTATTTCAAAATGACATTTTTACGTTGTCTGCACACTCTGAGCCTTTTGATGTGTCTCCCAAATGACTGACTTACATAAGATGGCTGAGAAAAAAATCAAACTTGCTTTCCCAATCTATACTTCCCCTGGCATTTATATCATGCGTAAATAGACCCAAATCTGATAAACAGTGAGGGGGAGGAGGTGGGGGAAGAGTGAGCAGTAGACTGTAGTGGGCGCTGGGCCAGATGCTGTGGAGGCTATGGGATGATACCACTTGACAGGCTCTGCCCAGGAGCTTGGCTTAACGTGATGTTAACAAGCAGACTCCCAAGAAGCTAATGAATTCAGGACGGAAAGTGATAAATGGCAGTGAGGACGCTAGTCAGTGCTGCTAGGGAAGGCCCTGCGGACTGAGTGCCCCAGCTTTTGGAGGAAGAGGAGCTTCCCAGAGGAAGGGAAGATTTGTCCCGTAACTTGGATGGAGGCTTGGGTTGCAGGAGGAAGCCCATGGCCTGCGTTGCCCATGCTGTCTCCCATTTAAAGGCCGTCATTTGCGATTGTGGATTTGGGACTCTGGGAGGAGAGGGGAGGAATGGAAGGGTGTCCTGGGCTATTCCTACTGTCCCCACCCAGAATTAGGGGTACTGAGCATTCAGGGGAAAATAAGGGTCTTGTGCCCGACCAAACACTGGCAAAGCTTTGCATGCCCCGGGGCTGCATCCACTGCAGTGAATGTCAGTAACCACTCTTCCTCTTGGGTCTTTATTTTCTGCTTGATGAGAAGTTGTTTAATTTGGTGAAAACATGCCTAAATGCCAAATGTGCCTGTTTTACCTATTTTGCAGTCAATGAACCAAGTTGCAGTCACATATTTTCTATTAATGGCGGTAACAGCTGCACTGGATTCAGTTTAGGTTCCTTGCATTAAAAACATAATCTAATTTTTATTTATCTGCTGTGGTTCAGTTTTAGCTAGGGTCAGCCTTATCCATGTTACTTTTGCTTTTTCAGACAAATGGTCACCTACCAGGGAATGGAGATGTGTATCAAGAAAGGCTGGCACGTTTAGAAAATGATAAAGAATCCCTCGTGCTTCAGGCAAGTGATTTTAAAATGGTATTCTTTCCTCATGACATACTTACAAAGACCATTTTGAATTGGATGACAAATTCAGATGCTTATAGGAGCCAGACTGCTAATAGAAATAAGTATAGTAGGCCATCTGCAGACAATAGGGAGTGGTGAGGACTGTGGCAGAACAGGAGTATGAATACCCCGTCTCAAATGAGCAGCACTTAATTAACTTCAGCTCTTCAAGGGCCAGGCTGATGACAAGCAAAATGTCATCATCTGATCTGACTTGTCATCTCATCTGATCTTTTTAAATATATAGCAGAAATTCCAATTTTATACTATATATATATTCTATACCATATGTGTGTGTATACATACAGTATATATCTTACATATATTTATATGAATATATGTTTATATACATAAATCAGAATAAATATTTCTGAATCTGAATATAATATTTAAATTTTCGATTTTAAAAATGATCCCATGAGCCAAACAAAGCACAAAGTGGGTAGTAGAGTCCTATTTGTAGGCTAAATTTGAGTTTTATTTTTCATTATGTTTTAAATGCTTGACAACTATTTTTACTTTGGTATTTTGAGCTAAATGAATTGAGAGTATATTTCAGTCACTAGGCCGGTGATCACTGAGGAAAAACTCAAGAGATTTGCAGAAGTGCCAAGAATGAATAATGAGCTCAATGCCTCCTCGTGAGCTTTTGAGTTACACTCTAGCTTTGAACATGTTTATGGACAGTGTGGTCATGAAAGAGCTCATGGGATTTATACTCCTGGGATTCTTTTCTTTATTCTTTGTGAAGTGTCAAGATTCCCCCACTCCCCCCAAACAGGGTCATTTGTGTACATGCCTTGTCTTGTGAATGGTTGAAATGGTTTTAACCTGTAAGATGTTACCCAACCCCAATCAGTCCTAAGTTTCTTAAAAATCAAATAGGAGCCCTTAAATCAACAAGCATCACTTACGTAGTCGTGTAGCAAGCTGCTGTTTTATTCGGAGATGTTTTTCTTTAAAACCAAATGAATGTCAACACCATTCCAGTTTTTGTTCCACTTAGAAAAATTAAGTTTGCAGTGGGACTTCTTCCTAATCTGATTTTGCTGTAAATATAGGTCAGCGTGTTAACAGACCAGGTAGAGGCTCAGGGAGAGAAGATCCGAGATCTGGAGTTTTGCCTTGAAGAGCACAGAGAGAAGCTGAATGCCACAGAGGAAATGCTGCGGCAGGTCGGTGCAGCGGTGCATTTTCCTGCTGAACTATTTGATGTGCTTCATTTATATGTTGTGCTCACTGTGATGCAGCAGGAGATTTCGTGGCACACTCAGAGTGGTATATTTTAAGCAAACACCTAGAGTAGCTGGGTCTCAAAACACATATGCATAATAGAAAGTGTTCATGTAATTTAGTTTAGGTTCCTTGCATTAAAAACATAATCTAATTTTTATTTATCTGCTGTGGTTCAGTTTTAGCTAGGGTCAGCCTTATCCATGTTACTGTTGCTTTTTCAGACAAATGGTCACCTACCAGGGAATGGAGATGTGTATCAAGAAAGGCTGGCACGTTTAGAAAATGATAAAGAATCCCTCGTGCTTCAGGCAAGTGATTTTAAAATGGCATTCTTTCCTCATGACATACTTACAAAGACCATTTTGAATTGGATGACAAATTCAGATGCTTATAGGAGCCAGACTGCTAATAGAAATAAGTATAGTAGGCCATCTGCAGACAATAGGGAGTGGTGAGGACTGTGGCAGAACAGGAGTATGAATACCCCGTCTCAAATGAGCAGCACTTAATTAACTTCAGCTCTTCAAGGGCCAGGCTGATGACAAGCAAAATGTCATCATCTGATCTGACTTGTCATCTCATCTGATCTTTTTAAATATATAGCAGAAATTCCAATTTTATACTATATATATATTCTATACCATATGTGTGTGTATACATACAGTATATATCTTACATATATTTATATGAATATATGTTTATATACATAAATCAGAATAAATATTTCTGAATCTGAATATAATATTTAAATTTTCGATTTTAAAAATGATCCCATGAGCCAAACAAAGCACAAAGTGGGTAGTAGAGTCCTGTTTGTAGGCTAAATTTGAGTTTTATTTTTCATTATGTTTTAAATGCTTGACAACTATTTTTACTTTGGTATTTTGAGCTAAATGAATTGAGAGTATATTTCAGTCACTAGGCCGGTGATCACTGAGGAAAAACTCAAGAGATTTGCAGAAGTGCCAAGAATGAATAATGAGCTCAATGCCTCCTCGTGAGCTTTTGAGTTACACTCTAGCTTTGAACATGTTTATGGACAGTGTGGTCATGAAAGAGCTCATGGGATTTATACTCCTGGGATTCTTTTCTTTATTCTTTGTGAAGTGTCAAGATTCCCCCACTCCCCCCAAACAGGGTCATTTGTGTACATGCCTTGTCTTGTGAATGGTTGAAATGGTTTTAACCTGTAAGATGTTACCCAACCCCAATCAGTCCTAAGTTTCTTAAAAATCAAATAGGAGCCCTTAAATCAACAAGCATCACTTACGTAGTCGTGTAGCAAGCTGCTGTTTTATTCGGAGATGTTTTTCTTTAAAACCAAATGAATGTCAACACCATTCCAGTTTTTGTTCCACTTAGAAAAATTAAGTTTGCAGTGGGACTTCTTCCTAATCTGATTTTGCTGTAAATATAGGTCAGCGTGTTAACAGACCAGGTAGAGGCTCAGGGAGAGAAGATCCGAGATCTGGAGTTTTGCCTTGAAGAGCACAGAGAGAAGCTGAATGCCACAGAGGAAATGCTGCGGCAGGTCGGTGCAGCGGTGCATTTTCCTGCTGAACTATTTGATGTGCTTCATTTATATGTTGTGCTCACTGTGATGCAGCAGGAGATTTCGTGGCACACTCAGAGTGGTATATTTTAAGCAAACACCTAGAGTAGCTGGGTCTCAAAACACATATGCATAATAGAAAGTGTTCATGTAATTTGAATCTGGAATAAAATAATAATAGGATTGTAGGTCATTTAAATTCTCTTCTTTATGCTTTCCTGTCGTTCCTAATTCCCAACCATGGGCATATAATTAAATGATTAAGAAAAAAGATAAGTAGCATGTATGACCTTGCAGTGCATGCACACACGTGGGGCTCCTATTTGGAAGGACCTACATAAAATACAGCAAATAGAGCCCACAGTGGGGTGAGACTGCGTAAGTTCGAGACCCTGTGCTGCCATTTCCTTGCTGTATGACTTTTGGCAAGTTTCTGATGTCTTTTCCTCAGCTTCCTCATCTGTTGAATAAGGATAATTCATGAGTAATCTTATGAATTTCTACCTCACAAGGTCGTTTTGAGGATCGAACCACTTAATCCGCATCAGAACAGTGCCTGGCGCATAGCAAACATAGTTTCGTCATCAGCATTGGAGTTGTTATCAGCCCTAAAAGTATCAATAGTTACTGCTTTGCTCTCGTAAGTGAGGCCTATCCATAATGGCTGTTTGTGATAAGGCAACCTTTGAATGTGTCTCTTAAATTCTAATAGGAACTCCTGAGTAGGACATCCTTAGAAACTCAGAAGTTGGATTTGATGGCTGAAATATCTAACTTGAAGTTAAAACTGACAGCTGTAGAGAAGGACAGATTGGATTATGAAGATAGGTTCAGAGACACAGAGGTAAGTGACACCCTCTCTCTCTTAATAAACGTATGTTTGTGTGTGTATCTCACACCCACATATTCCCAAAGCAGAGGCCGTTAATTAACTGCTCTATGTCCTCATTCATCCAGGTGGCTTTTTAGGAATAAACTTTAATTACACTGACATTTTATCACTAAATGCTAATGGAAATTTTTATTTTGAAACTTTTGATACAAAATATTAGTTTTTCATTAGCTTTTAGAAATAGCATTTTGACTTTAGGGCATTTAGAACTTCTCTTTCTTTCCTTCCATATATCCATCCATATTTGTTTTCTTCTTTGTCGAAATAATGGGCTTAATTAAGTGCATGATGTTTCTAGGAATTATTTTATAGGCACTCTTATTTTTTTAATTAACCTATTGATATAGAATCTTACAAAGGTTTCACATGAGCAACATTGTGGCTACTACATTTACCCATATACCCCATTGCTGTTCCTGTCCATCAGCGTAGTCAGATGCTCTAGAGTCACTCCTTGCCTTCTCTGTGCTATACTGTGTAGGTACTCTTATTATTTACTGTGTAATGAGCAGATTTAAAAACAGGTATAGAAAACATGCTTTCATGACAAATCATAAAAATCATAGATCTTTAGAGATTATTTAGTTTGACCTACTTTTGGTCTATTCCGCCTGTAAATCATTCCAATTAAATGAAGCTCACTCTACTTTTGTGACATTTGGGGTAGATTCTGTAAGTTGAAGTACCCATTTTCATGGCTGAACATGCTTTCTCATTTTTTTCCCACCCACTTTATTGTTAAGCCAGTTCTTCTAGTTTGTTTATTTGCTTATTGTTTTCTTGTTGAGGGGAGAAAGCACTTTCATTTGAAATCTATTTATAGTTGACCCATGAACAACATGGGGGTTAGGAGTCCTGACTCCCTGCATAGTTGAAAATACACATATAACTTTTGAGTCCCCCAAACTTAGCTGCTAATAGCCTCCTGTATATAAAACGGGTTAATTAACTTCAGATGGGACAAAGAACAGAAAAGTAGAAAACAAATGGGAGTGTTGTAGGGTCCAAAAAGAACAAGGGAGCAAGCCAAGGGTAAATTAGCTGCTCCATGGTCCCTGCCAGGGTTGACATCTGCATCCTGGCCTGGCTGGGAGGGGTCAAATGCTTCCTGCCTCCTGCCCCTGAGTTGCCCATGCAGGACTTCAGCTAGTGGCCTGTTAGCTCAGTGGGTTAGTACATGATGCTAGTAACACCAAGGTAGTGGGTTCAATCCCTGCAGAGGCCATTACTACAACATTTTTTCTCCTCCATTTCTGTGTATCAGCCACATCACTGGTGGAATGTGCTGCCTTATATCCAATCACAGATACTGTATAGTTATTGAAAAAAAATCCACATATAAGAGGACCTGCACAGTTTAAACCTATGTTGTTCAAGGCTCAACTATCTTTGAAGAAATACAAAGAGTTGCAGGTATTCCTTCTTTCCTAGAGTTTAAACCTATGTTGTTCAAGGCTCAACTATCTTTGAAAGAAATACAAAGAGTTGCAGGTATTCCTTCTTTCCTAGAGTTTAAACCTATGTTGTTCAAGGCTCAACTATCTTTGAAAGAAATACAAAGAGTTGCAGGTATTCCTTCTTTCCTAGAGTTTAAACCTATGTTGTTCAAGGCTCAACTATCTTTGAAAGAAATACAAAGAGTTGCAGGTATTCCTTCTTTCCTAGAGTTTAAACCTATGTTGTTCAAGGCTCAACTATCTTTGAAAGAAATACAAAGAGTTGCAGGTATTCCTTCTTTCCTAGGGCCATCTTTTCTTCTTTCTTTATTTTGTTTCCTTGGTTGGGGTATGGAGAGGTGTCATACTGGATTTAAAAACGAGTACCAAGAAGGAGAGAGGAGAAGAAATCATTTACTTATTTTTCCCCTCTATCTTCATTTCAAGCATTTATTTCATACTGCCCACATGCCATCACAATATGAGGTACATTATATATATTATCTACTACATGAAAGCCCTTCATAGATTTAAATCTAATGAGGTTTCTCCATTGCTATTTTCAAAATTAAATTTTCTGTCACAAGTGTAACTCTATTGGAGTCTTGGTGTGTGTATTCCTTTGTCAGGAGCAAAATGAAATCCCTAACTTGGTTCATGTTAAAGCTCTTTATCAGTTACCCAAGGGAGCATTCTCATTTGAGACCAAAACTCTTAAAACAGAGCCTAGAAAATTACCCAATTTCTGTAAATTCTTGCTTTTGTGCTTTCTGTAAAAGTCTGTTTGGATATTTTCTTCTTTTCCCTTCCCATCATTCTCTGACCTCACAGTTGCTATGTCGTTCAGTAGTAGAATTCAGCCGAGAAGTGGATGGCATATGTTGGAACTAAACTCTGGTGCAGGGAAAGAGGTTACAGTACTTGGGAACCAAGAGGTGGCTTTCTACCTTCTATAAAAAGTAGAAAGTTTGGGGGAAGTTTTAACCTGCATCACTGTAGCTAATTTGAAAACAAGACTTAACCAAACACTGAAACTAAATTGAAATAGATGTTTTATGATTGTTTTGTAAGACCCCAGAACAATATTCACATCTCTTGAGTTTGTCTACCTTTTTTTTTTTTTTGAGAGGGCATCTCTCATATTTATGGATCAAATGGTTGTTAACAACAATAAAATTCTTTATAGGGGGGTCAATGCTCAATGCACAGTCATTAATCCATCTCAAGCCTAGTTCTCTTCAGTCTCCAATCTTCTGAAGCATAACGAACAAGTTCTTACATGGTGAACGAATTCTTACATAGTGAATAAGTTCTTACATGGTGAACAGTACAAGGGCAGTCATCACAGAAACTTTCAGTTTTGATCACGCATTATGAACTATAAACAATCAGGTCAAATATGAATATTCGTTTGATTTTTATACTTGATTTATATGTGGATCCCACATTTCTCCCTTTATTATTATTATTATTATTTTTATTTTTAATAAAATGCTGAAGTGGTAGGTAGATGCAAGATAAAGGTAGAAAACATAGTTTAGTGTTGTTGTCTACCTTTTTTATAAAACATTTTTTTCTGGGGTTCCCTTGCTTCACTCATGCATTCTGAATCATACACAAAATGATCTTGTAAACAAACTTCCAGTAAACCCAATTCCTGATAATTTTCTAAGAAATTTTCAACACTATTGGTAAAATATAGTATGCATATACCCAGAGATTATAGGATATTTTACAAATGTCATTATACATGAAAATAATTAAAACAGTCTTCAAAATTAAAACTGAGTTGACTATGTTCATTTTCCTATTGTTGTTCCCTTAATGCAAATAGTCCCCTGGCTGTTTCGTGAATCCGAAATTCTTTAACCTTATCTTAGAATTTTAGATTATTTGGAGCCTAATCTCCAAGAAAATATTGGAGTAGGGAACAATTATAAGTACTTCCAAAAAATTGGGGGTAAATGTCTTGAGACCTTAAAAGACAGTGCCCCCTTCTGGTAAGAACACAGATGTTGGAAATGAGTTTCAGTGGAGCTCAAGTTCTTTTAAAAAAGAAAGGTAACAGGTTTTCTTTTTTAAAAGAAGTAACATTTCTGATAAGAAATTATTGGAAATAATTTGTATTCCATTTTTTAAAGTTTCCTATTAATTTCATAAATAGAAATTAAATTTCTATGTCCAGATTTTTCAACTTGAGTTATCATGGGGGGGGTAGGACTTATTTCAGGTTGGAGATTTACATTCTCATTGACAGTGTTGCCACAAAAGATAATTGGGTAGTTGTTTTTTTTTTTTTAATAAAAAAGTTAACTCTATTTATAATTCTACTTTCTGAAGTTATTTCTTCCTTCTTTGCAAATTGCCAGTATTACTAAAGGAAGTGGTAAAATACCACAATACCAAATAGGAATTCAAAGCTGTTTCTTAACAATGAGAAAGTGGGAAAACATATTTAAAAAGGCCAGATTGGTGAAGGAAGATCACTAAGAAAAAGGATGGTTAATAAATGGGAGGTAAATATGTGGGAGAAACTGACTCCTTTGAACTTGAATTCTGAATGTGTAGATATGGAATCACAACAATATTAAGTGATGTCAAATAGTTCTTGACCTCATTCATAAAAGGAGAAAATAGATATCCTCTTTTTGAAACATATTAATAATAATTATAATAATATGAGTAAGTAATTATGATAAAGTGATGCTATATTACACGGCTGAGCAAGAAACCACAGTTTAAAAGCCTGTGGGTTTTCTGGCAAGTGTATTTCATTGTACGATCCCTTTCCTTAGCCTTTGTGAGTGAGGTTGAATCATTACACTTAGAAATTTAGAGTAATCCCTCCTTAACAAAGATTTATATCTTGCAGCATTGTTCTGTTTGTTTTCATGGTATTCTTGTATAATCCTGTGTCATGTATGACCTGTGGCTCAGGAGAGGAACAAAACCACAGTCACTGGTGGGGCCTTCATGACTTACCCTAAACAAAATCATCTCCTTCAAAGAGCATTTGTACTCTTCTTTTAGAGTAGTTGGTATTGTTTCACATTCTAATTTGCATTTCCTACTCTCTGGGGTCTGGGCAAAGTATCCTGTTTCTCAGAATATTTAGACAAATTTTGCAGGCAGATTAATTTTTTTTTTAAAGTGGCAGTAGAAGTCTCCAGTTGAATTTGTACTATGAAAACGTTAGGATTGCTTTCTTTTTTGTCTTCCAAATGTAAAATTATAGTATGATACTGAATATATTTGTAAACAAGTCCTCATCTACCCTTGAGTTGAGAGTCCTTGGTTTAAAGGATTTAAATTTCCTTCCATTCTCCCAGATTGCATTAATGAATCTGTATTTTTGTGGACTAGTGAAGAAATTATATAGACATTAAAAAAGATACTTTTCTATCTTTGAAAAGGCCCTAAAAGTAATTGGTTTTACTAAGGAAAATTTTCTGATGTATTTTAAAAGAGTTCATAGAATGACTTAATCTAGAAATATCAGTCAGTGATAGACAATGATTAGCTACCTTTCTTAATCAAAATAAAGTCATCTTTTACTTTCATAATCCCATCATTTTAGGGCAGAGGCTTTGGACATTTAAAGTAATATATTAACTGGAAAGATGCTTTTGGTTCTCAAGGAGATTCATTTATTTCCATTTGCCTGATTTGATTCATTCAACTTTCACCCAAGAGCTGTTCATTGAAATTGGGTTTTCTGGCAAGTGTATTTCATTGTACGATCCCTTTCCTTAGCCTTTGTGAGTGAGGTTGAATCATTACACTTAGAAATTTAGAGTAATCCCTCCTTAACAAAGATTTATATCTTGCAGCATTGTTCTGTTTGTTTTCATGGTATTCTTGTATAATCCTGTGTCATGTATGACCTGTGGCTCAGGAGAGGAACAAAACCACAGTCACTGGTGGGGCCTTCATGACTTACCCTAAACAAAATCATCTCCTTCAAAGAGCATTTGTACTCTTCTTTTAGAGTAGTTGGTATTGTTTCACATTCTAATTTGCATTTCCTACTCTCTGGGGTCTGGGCAAAGTATCCTGTTTCTCAGAATATTTAGACAAATTTTGCAGGCAGATTAATTTTTTTTTTAAAGTGGCAGTAGAAGTCTCCAGTTGAATTTGTACTATGAAAACGTTAGGATTGCTTTCTTTTTTGTCTTCCAAATGTAAAATTATAGTATGATACTGAATATATTTGTAAACAAGTCCTCATCTACCCTTGAGTTGAGAGTCCTTGGTTTAAAGGATTTAAATTTCCTTCCATTCTCCCAGATTGCATTAATGAATCTGTATTTTTGTGGACTAGTGAAGAAATTATATAGACATTAAAAAAGATACTTTTCTATCTTTGAAAAGGCCCTAAAAGTAATTGGTTTTACTAAGGAAAATTTTCTGATGTATTTTAAAAGAGTTCATAGAATGACTTAATCTAGAAATATCAGTCAGTGATAGAAAATGATTAGCTACCTTTCTTAATCAAAATAAAGTCATCTTTTACTTTCATAATCCCATCATTTTAGGGCAGAGGCTTTGGACATTTAAAGTAATATATTAACTGGAAAGATGCTTTTGGTTCTCAAGGAGATTCATTTATTTCCATTTGCCTGATTTGATTCATTCAACTTTCACCCAAGAGCTGTTCATTGAAAATTTCCAAGCTGCTATTTGCGTATGGATGAGAGTCTTGCTGCTTTCCTAATGTGTTTGTTCCCTTGTTCCTTTGGATAGGGGCTAATGCAGGAGATCAGCGATTTGAGGTTCAGGATCAGTGAGATGGACAGTGAAAGACTTCAGTACGAAAAAAAGCTGAAATCCACCAAAGTAAGTTTTCTCAATGGCAAAACATTTAAACAAATGGTTTACTACTTATCTAGGAGCAGTAATATAAATAAAATATGTTTTCTACTTAGTGTATGATAAAGAAGGTATTTTACAAGTAAGTGAAGTTTTTGCCCAAGCTGGAGACCTTCTTGAACGTAAACCCTACTATTCTGAATAAAGCTCAGGCTTACCTAATCTGATAGAACATAACCTGGCATTTCTCTTAATTACCTAATCTCCTTTATAAACTGATACTGCTCTCTTGGTTATTTAGCTTGTCTTTTTCTATCTGTAGTTTTCTTTCACTCCTCTGTCTCTCTACCAGTCTTTAATGGCCAAACTTTCTAGCATGAAAATCAAGGTGGGTCAGATGCAGTATGAAAAGCAGCGGATGGAACAAAAGTGGGAGTCCCAGAAGGTGGAGTAGACTTTGGGTAACGGGGTCCATGGCCTGTTGCTTTCTGGCTTGTGTCATTTTGCTGTGATGGTGTTTTTAGTAGCGTGTACATTCGTTTTGTGTGTGTGTGTGTCACGTGTCTTTTAAAAATACATTGAATGCTAATTCAAGGAACAATGTGATCCCTAATATTAGTTTCAGAAACATATGAAATAATGAGTGAAAAATAATGAACAGGTAAAATAAAAGTCTTTGTTTCTAAGTTAAATCTCACTCTCCGAGCCTGTCTGACACCCAAGCATGGTGAAATAATTGCAGAACTTCACCTGTGAAAAAGAATTCTGTTTCCTATCAATAGTAAAGACTGCTTTCTTCCTTCAGGACTTTCTTGAAGGCTGTGTGTGCAGCAGTTAACTAATCATGGCAGTGAACAGAAATCACTCAGATAAAGCACAGTGAGAACAGGGCAGCCTTCTTCCAGTGCTACTGAAAATTTCCTGTACTTGGTGTCCACTTTGACTTTATCATAAGTAAAAATTCCGGGACCAACTTCTGAGCTTCATTGGAAAGCCTCATCTGCTCATAGTATTAAGCACAGTAAATATATCTAGAGACTGAAAGTAAAATGTTTATCAAATGTAAAAGTGCATTTATTAGCATTGCATAACTGTATTTTCTGTGTTCAAGTTTGCTAAAGCTAGTTCTTTACCAAAATGAAACTGAAAATTAAAACATTGGTAAATAGAACATTGCACTTGGGATCTTTAATGGTTGCATAGTAAAAAAAAAAAAAAGGACTTAAAATCTGTTTCTAAATCTATTTTTTTCCATTGTTGTAGGAGATTCTGTTCCTTTATCTTCTTAGTGATGAGGATGAGTTGTTTAGTCCCATGATTTGGCTAAAGTTGTTCATCACCTGCTACCTCACCCACTAATTAAGCTCTACCTTGTCCAGGGAACATGAGGGCCATCTTGAAATGCTGAATGAATCTCAAGCAAGTCTTAATATATATTTTCTAATTTGCATTTTATTTTGCTTTTATGACACTAAGCATCTAATTGGATTATCTTCCTTGATTAACTTGGTCAGGTTTTTTATTTAACATAAGATTGAAACCTAAGGGCTACCCTATTCCTAATCACACTTTAAAAGATTTCATTTTAATTTGGTCACCAAGAAACGTGAAATAATTATACCAGAATTATTCTACATTGACTTCCATTAATTGTCTTGCTTCCTGCTTACCATTGCCACTGTCTGATTTCTGGTTTGTGTCTGAATTCCCATAGTTTTCTGTTTCATTCACAAAAACTAATTCTTGATTTAAGAGTTAACATACTCTCTGAGTATTCTCTTTGAGTCATACTCTACTGTTTTAAAATGAATTTATCATTTGTAGGATGAACTGGCATGCTTAAAAGAACAACTGGAAGAGAAAGAATCTGAAGTGAAGAGGCTACAAGAAAAATTGGTTTCCAAGATGAAAGGAGAAGGGATAGAAATTCTTGATCGAGGTAAGTATATACATTTGACACTTGTCATTTTGTTAAAATCCTCCCAAGAAATTGATATTAATGGATGTATAATTTTAGCATCAAAGAAAGGGAAGAATAGCAGACACCATGCAAGCCAGGATAAAAAAAAAAAAAAGGACTTAAAATCTGTTTCTAAATCTATTTTTTTCCATTGTTGTAGGAGATTCTGTTCCTTTATCTTCTTAGTGATGAGGATGAGTTGTTTAGTCCCATGATTTGGCTAAAGTTGTTCATCACCTGCTACCTCACCCACTAATTAAGCTCTACCTTGTCCAGGGAACATGAGGGCCATCTTGAAATGCTGAATGAATCTCAAGCAAGTCTTAATATATATTTTCTAATTTGCATTTTATTTTGCTTTTATGACACTAAGCATCTAATTGGATTATCTTCCTTGATTAACTTGGTCAGGTTTTTTATTTAACATAAGATTGAAACCTAAGGGCTACCCTATTCCTAATCACACTTTAAAAGATTTCATTTTAATTTGGTCACCAAGAAACGTGAAATAATTATACCAGAATTATTCTACATTGACTTCCATTAATTGTCTTGCTTCCTGCTTACCATTGCCACTGTCTGATTTCTGGTTTGTGTCTGAATTCCCATAGTTTTCTGTTTCATTCTGATTTCTGGTTTGTGTCTGAATTCCCATAGTTTTCTGTTTCATTCACAAAAACTAATTCTTGATTTAAGAGTTAACATACTCTCTGAGTATTCTCTTTGAGTCATACTCTACTGTTTTAAAATGAATTTATCATTTGTAGGATGAACTGGCATGCTTAAAAGAACAACTGGAAGAGAAAGAATCTGAAGTGAAGAGGCTACAAGAAAAATTGGTTTCCAAGATGAAAGGAGAAGGGATAGAAATTCTTGATCGAGGTAAGTATATACATTTGACACTTGTCATTTTGTTAAAATCCTCCCAAGAAATTGATATTAATGGATGTATAATTTTAGCATCAAAGAAAGGGAAGAATAGCAGACACCATGCAAGCCAGGACCACAGGGAACCCTCTGAGATGCCTTACTGTGTTTGGGGATCAATGAACTTCCCCTTCAGAAACTGGAAGAGCAACTCTGCACTTTATTGCATGTTTATTTTAGGTTACTGAATTGTAAATTCTCATCATGAGAGAGTTCTTGTTCAAACTGCAATACAAAGGGGTGTCAAAAAGAGTTAAAAGGAGCCATTACTATTCCCAAGATTATTTCCCTGTGAACTGAATTTGAGACAACATAAAGTAAGACCTAGTAACCTTGCCTGCCCTTGTGACAGAAGAGGGAAAGCTCTGCATCTTCGGAAAATCGGTGAAAATTTCTTATGGATGGAGTCCTCAACTTTCTAGAAAGCAAAACGAGGCTAATTCTGTTTTTGAAAATGTTTATGAATTTATCCCCCAGAAGTATTTTTCCTAAGTGAGGAGCTTTGTACTGAATATCCTATGGACTGTGGTTTTTAATAATGTATGTTATACTTGATAGAAAATAACTTGAGTGAAATGTGTTTTTTAAATTGTATTTAGAAATACAAATGCATATAACATCTGACAATACTAGATCTAATTTGACTTTTCTTTGTTATTACTGACAGCTACGGTGCTATGAGATACCAAAGCAACTTCTAATGCATTTGAAACAGAACAAGTTCAGTTTAGTGTAGCTTTGGGACATTTTTATCTATTATATGGGCCTTGGTAATGTTATTGTCTATCCAATGAAGGCTTGAATTAGATTATCTCTAAGGTCTTCCTTGGCTTCAGAGTACTCAGGTTTTATATACCTGTAGGGATGGCAATTCCCTGTGTATCAGAAAATGCAATTCATCAAATATTGAAGGACATGGATATTTTTCCCCTCTGCTATTTTGGCATATAGAGAATTTTGTGTCCTTAGAGGACATTCACAAAAAAAGTTATGCTTTTTAGGGTTGTAAGAATAAAATGGAATGAATCGTAGGACTTGTAGGTTAGGGGCTATATTAGCATAGTGCCACCCAGCACCTGATCTAAGGACTGATTCTGGTCTGTGAAGTGCCTGTTAACAGTGGACAGCCAGATAAATACAGGGATTGAGAACAAGTGTTTAGAAAGATCATGGCGATCTGATATTGGTATAATATCTAACTGCGTAATCAGTGGACTTACCTCATTGAACAGGAAATAGACCATTTCAGTGCTATCATACTCGAGTGGTGAGTCGAACAGGACGTAAGCAGTGGGCTGGTCACGTTCAGGAGGGCCTAAATCGAACAGTACTGGAAATGTAAAAACAATGAAAGCAATGTTAACTGTTTTTTTAATTGCATATAGTGTAAGAAGTGCTTGCATTCCACAGACCTGACTTTAATATGAGAAAATCAAGGCTCAGAAAGGTGACGTGTCAGATGGCAAATTTCAGTCTTCTGATTAATGACATTAGAATCTCTTTCTACCTCTGTGTGCATTATGTAGTATAGTTCCCATCCTAAAGTCACAAGATAGTGCTTACTATTCAGTCTTTGTAAGGTTAGTCTTTTTATTTTAGGTAAAAGGAGACTAAATAATCATGTTTTTAAAATATTATTTATTGTTGTAATATATGCTAACTTCCAATTCAATGGGTTTTCCTGCACAGATGAAAATTTTAAAAAGAAGCTCAAAGACAAAAGTAAGGTTCTTGGTGTATTTCCATCAGCTTTTACATTCACCAGAAGTACTACTTGGACTGTTCTTTGCATGTGTTTTAAGAACATTTCTCTCCCCAAATGTAAAGTTGCTTCATCGATAAGCTCTCCATTTCTTCAGAGTGTGCAAAAGAGGGTAAACAAACACTAGAAACAAGGCAGCAAAGGTCAGTTTTGCAGGTTTGTCTGATTCACAGCATTCAACAGGGCACCCAGAGTGTTGGGGGAGAGAAAGCATTTCCTCTGTGGCCCAGGAGATACAGGGTCAGAGGAAGATGATACTCCTAACAAAACCTATTGTTTTTAAGGCTCACCATAGTTGAAAGACCATTTTGAACTCCCCTTGTGCTCTGCAGTGTTTCGTAGCCCAGTTTTTCACTGAGGTTTGCATTAGGAGCTTCTCTAAGCGTGCCCTCTCGCGGTGTTCGCAAAAGGGTTTGACCCAGGCTGGTTAACAGGACCAGGCTTATATGAAGCAACGTAAAGATAAGTCCTTAATGGGCTCTTTCCTCCAGACATTGAATTCTCAAGTCAAGGGAATTTGCCCTCCAAAAGTAAATAAATAAATAGATAGGCAATTCATACCTTAACTGAAAATGTCACATTTGTGCTGAACGATGCACCACTGTTTTAAAAATTATCTTACATAGTATTTGTGTTTTCTCAGAAGCAGGCAACCTTAGCTGAATCTTTTTCTCTGTTTCAACCTTTTAAGTCTGTGATTTCATTTTAGGTTGAATTTTCATCTTTAAAATATTTGCTGTATTATTATCAAAGTATCATGCTTTTGTATTTGAAAGTCAAATTTTAAGGGAAGCCATACGCAGCTTGCTTTAGCCTTTATGTCTTAAAATCTGTTTTCAAATAGTACTAGAAATGAAGTTTATAGATGAAGCAAAGTACTTGTTATCCTTCTGTGTGGAACCTACAGCCAGCTTCTTAGCATGACTACTTGGTAAATAAATATCACATTCCGTTAGGCTCTCACCATTCCTGTCTCTGTCTTGATTATAACTGATCATCGTTATCTTGGCTCTTGTCATTATGTATAACGTGCAATGCTTTCACCCACTGCTTTATAGGTTTCTATTTTTAAAACTCCATGTTTTTATTGTTAAAGCACTGGAACCTCACCTTCAGTGTTCTCATGATGATTTTATTGTTGTTTTGAGGGAAGGTAGTCAGAATTGTTTTCTTTCTGGAATATGACGATTCAGATGAGAGAGAAGGTGTTCATTTTTCAGATTTTCCCTAAAAGAGAATGTGGATGGTAAAATGTGCCCTTTTAAAGAAAAAAAGAAAAAGTCGAACAAAATAATTCATTAGCATCTTTACCTTAAACTATTTCAGTCTAAAGAATCAGCTTCTCATTGTTGTTCCATGTTAATCAAACTGACTTCTGATTTGATTTTGTGGTACTTTCAGATATTGAAGTACAAAAAATGAAAAAGGCTGTGGAGTCTTTGATGGCAGCAAATGAAGAAAAGGTATCTAGATGAAATTTAAATATTTGTGTAGATGTGTCGCACCATTTTGATCATTCGATGCATTCTCTTGAGATATCCTAGTTCGAAAGAACACACTGGAACCGCACTAACAGTGGGAACAAATGCTCCTTTCCTGCCCGAGAGCGCCCCCTCTCTGCGGTGGCAGTTGTAACTGGCTGTGTATGTAGGAATGCAGACCGGCCACACTGACTCCCCTGAGAGTTCTCTGTCCCCTACCTGCCATGAACTTAGAAATGGTTGAAGCGGCCAGATCAGTTCTTTATTTTCAGGTGAGAAGAGATACAGGCCAGAGTGCCCCCTGTGGCCACTGGAATCTGGGCTAACGTGGGCTCTGAGGGAGAGTCCCCGTGACAACTTAGGCCACATGACGATGTTGATCATTTTCTCCATTTATGCATTATTTCCTTCACACTCCTGGCCTCTTTCACATCAGGGGTCGCCTCTGCTTTCCTGAGAGGTGAGAGACCAGAAACTTGAGGTGCAGACTCTGTGAAATAAGTATGGCCGCAGGCTTTGTTTTATCTGTGTTGGCCTAACGCAGAGGCCTCCAGAGTTCCTTCCGCTCTTTGCCTCTCTGCTCTTCATCCTGCCGGGAGCAGGGATGTGTACCCTCCCGAGGCAGCGTGTTTCCCTGTGGCCTGACCAGACGGATGTCCGCAGGCGGCCACGGCCGGGCCCAGCTCCGGTCAGCAGCGCTGCTCTCTGCTCATGTCCTTAATGAACAGAGCAAGGAGGAGGCCTTTCCCAGGCAAAAATAATTTCAAGGAAGTAAAAAACAAGCAAATGCCAAAGAACTTTGTCTTGGCCCTTTTCTCTCCTTATAAGTTTTTTTTTCTCTCTAGTTCTTGCCTACTCTGTTTTACTTATCTTTTATTAATTTTGGCCTTTCATTCTCTTTACTTGTTCTTTATTACATGGAAATAAACTAATTTTTCCACCCACCCACCCATTGATAGGTTTCTTCATTCTAGTCTTTCCCAGTGTTGAATAAAAAGAAAATTCATTTAACAAGCTGTCTCCATGTAGCTTTTACTTGAAACAAAAAAAAAAATCATGGAAATTCATTTTGTTTTAATTTCTCTCCCTCAAAAAGCAACAATAACAAAATTTCCGATGTTGACTGAGGGTTTACTAGATGTTCAAGCTTCCATAGAAGCACCAAGAATGACATAACTTATTAGTGGCTTCAGAATACTTCAAAGAGGACATTTATGAGCAGAATATGGGGAAGCACAAGATTTGTTCGTCAGGAAAATGAAGGCTTCTAGCAGAAGATCCATGAGTGAAAACATGTCTCAGAGCCAAAGCTTGAAACAAACAGCCCCGTGCCTGCTGGGAAGGCTTTGTTGCTGCATGGAATCTGGGGTTGGGACAGGTGCAGGGGGCTGACCAAGGAGCTGCCGTGAGGTGGTAGGCGACCTTGTGTGCCAGGCCAATGGTTTGGGGTCTTGGCTTGTAGACCCCAGACAGTGACATAAATAGCCATTGTAGAAAACTAGCTCTGGTGTCAGAATGGAGGCAAGAATAAGGGAGGGAGAGTTAAGACAGAACAACTAAGAAGCTGTTGAAATCGTCTAGGTGAGAAAGGAAGAGGGGTTGAAATAAGACCTTGGCAGTGAAGTGGTAAAGAGGGAAGAGATTTTAGAGAATTCACAGGTTGACAAGATTTTAAAATCTTTGAATTTGAGAGTCAGTTTCTTGTTGGGCAACCAGGTAAATGATCGTGCCGTCTATGAATTAAGGGACTCCAAGCCCAGGCTCAAGTACTGGGAACAAATAATGAGCTTCATTTTATATGCGTTCGATTTGATGTGTTTGTGGGACATTTAAAAGGAGACTTCCCATAGGACACTGGAAATTGACTCTAGATTTTAGGGTTAATATAGAATTACAGATTGGTGGGGAGTGAACTGTTCATCAGTTTTAAGAGAAATAATAGAGTTGTAGATTGATGGGAACTAAACTATAAAAATAGTGATGAGTTAGTTAGCTTTTGCTCCATGACAAATCACATTTATTATTTCTCATGCTTCTGTAGGTTAGCTAGCTGGTTCTTCTGGTCCGGGGTGGCTTTGCCGATCTCTGCAGTTAGCCAGTGGCTGGGATGGGGCTGGATGGTCTAAGATGGGGTGGCTCGTGTCTGGTGATAGACTGGCCTGGGTTGTTCCCAGCTGGAATGCCCCTTCTCCAAATGATCTCTCATCATCTAGTAGGCTCGCCTCTGCTTCTTCACATAGTGGCCTCAATATGCAAATACTTCTCAAGCCTCTCTAGAACCATATTTGTCGATATCTTATTGGCCAAAGTCGGTTGAATGCAAGCCCAAAAGACCCTGTGGGAGAAGTTACGGGGCTCATTTTTATAATCCACCACAGCGAGGGCACGGAGGAGAGTGTCGAGTATAAAACCTTGAAGTGCTGACATTCTACAGTCAGGGTGGAGAGGATAGCGAGGGTTAGGGACGTAGCATATGTATCCAGTCAAGGGATTCAGAAAATCAAAATAGAAGAAAAGAAAGAGTGGGGGGGAGGGCAGTGAAAGAAAATGGAACAAATGGGGTCAATCAAGTGCCAGATGGAGATCAAATTAGGAAAAGGAGGAAAAGCATTCATTGTTCTTAGTGACTAGAAGGTGTCTGATGAGTAGCTGGACCAGCTTTGATGGAATGGTATGGAAGGGGGAAGCCCGATGGTGGTTGATGGCGGCTAAGAAAGACCTCACTGACAGGTTGGCAAGGAGAGTCATTAAAATTGATTTTTTTTTCTTGTTTTGTATCTTATTACCTTGTTTTGTTTTTGTTTTTTAAAGATGGCAGCTGAAGGATAGGATCTCTAAATTTAGAGGTACTTTTTCTCTATCTCTGATGTACGTAGGAAAAATATTCTAGATATTACCAGTTTTACTAAAGTTTAGAAGTACTCTTTGAATAATGTAAATAATTCCCGTCTACTTATTCTTTATGTCACAATTGCTTTTACTGTTTTAAAACCATAGCATTAAAAATGATCGTTTATTTTATTAATAGGATCGGAAAATAGAAGATCTTCGGCAGTGCCTGAACAGGTACAAGAAAATGCAAGACACAGCGATGCTAGCCCAAGGTAAAAAAGGTAGTATAGCTCTGAAGGTTTCTTTACCTTAGTTGATTTTAAGTGGCTACAGACTTTTACATTTGACCTTGATTTCTTTCATGAACCATCTCCATTATCCCAAACTAGGTAACTCACTCATTATTAATGCCAGGAAGTGTGTAGGCTAATGAGAACCCTGTAGATGGGCTGGTCAGTCAGGAAGAGCTTCCCTGGAAAGCATTTGAGAGGCAGAAAGAACAGCACGTACAAGATACAGGGGGGAAAGGAACTTGGTGTTTTAAGTAAAAGACCAGTGTGACCAGAAAGTGGTAAGTGGGGGGAGAGGATGGAATGAGATGAGATGATGGAGGGGAGAGCTGGTCAGGTCATGAAAAGTGAGGCGTTCAGCCATTATTCGAACCCAGAGGGATCCACTGCGGGGTCTTAACAAGTCAGCACATCTTTGTGACAAACGGGAGCGCGTCTTACTGTCAGGGAGCCGTACTGGGAGGAAGGGGAGCCAATCAGGAGACTCCTGCAGTATTCCAAGTGGAAAGAGCTGATGGGAAGTATGTTCTGGAGTTAGAAACCACACAGTGGTGTGATGATTGAGATGAAGAAAGTGAAGAGGAAAGAATCACGAAAAAAACACATTTCCAACTAAAGCAACCAGGTGGATAGCAGTTCCATTTACCAAGATGGAGAAGCACCGTGAAGGAACATTGATACGGTAATGGGGGATTGTGTTCAGCTTTAAACATGTTAAGTTAAAAAACAAAACTAAAAACCCTGTAAGGCATCTAAGTAAAAATAGTTATGCATTTTTGTTGTATTAATCATTATTTACCTGCACATGGGCCAGTGGGCCACCCTTAAATGTGGGAGCATTCTGGGGTCATTCAAAACAAAACAAAATGTTAACCTTGAAAGTCCTCTTGCTCATTAGCAATGCATAGATGGGGTTATTTGCCCTAAAAGTAAACATTGGAAACAAATAACTCTTTTGCAGTGTACTTGTGAAACATTCAGATTTTGAAATTCTAACATTGATGAGTTCATAAAGAAAATCTTGCTTTGGACTAGGAGTTTTGAAAGAAATGGATTTTCACCTTTTTGCCCACAGGGCCTACCATTTATTAAGACTTCATAAATAGATGACTGAGCAAATGAACCTCTAATAGCCCGTGTAGGTATGGCAATTCTCATCACTCAGCATTTTCTGTCCTGTCAGAAGAGTCTCTCTTTTAAGGAATACTGCAGATTCACAAGTGATTAATTTTTACATAATCATAGCATTTAAAATGTTAGATTTTATAGAATCTCAACATTATAATTCTTATGTTTAAAAATCAAGGAAAACGGATTAATTTCTGTAATTAGACTGTATTGTAAAACATTTAGAAAATAGAAAGAGTAAAAGTCACTCATGATGGCATGACCTTTATTGGCTTTTGCTTATATTTCTTTCTAGTTTTTTTTTTTTCTATGCATAGAGATATATACCTGAAAGAGGTAGTTTTTAACCACCTTAACAGCAGGATACATTTTCATAAACTATTAAAAATTATGGCCTGTTCTAGTGAAGTTTCTAAACAATAACTTCTCACTAGGATTTATATTTATCTAGTTAATCCTTAGACAATTCTAATAATACGTAAATTTTTATAAATTTAGAATAAAAAATCTAATGGAACCTAAATAGTATCTTTAAACAAGAATATGATTTACCATTTTGTATTACTCAGAGCATAGAGTTTTAAACATCATTCCTTGTATTAAAAAGAGTATCTGGCACTGTCGTTCAGCACTTAATCCTTGTTATTTCTAGAAATGTAAAAAAATTCTCAAAGTCACTGCTTTGCTAGATTTGTGGTTGTATTTCACCTACCAGCTGCTCTTTCTGTTTTGAATGGCATAAAAGGATCCTCCTAAGGGATCAAAAGGTTGTCTGTCTATTTTTTTTTCTTTTCCTTTTTTCCTTTCTATGTATTTTTCAAGAGCACAGCGGGGATGAACATTGAGTTGTTTAAGTGTTGCTATTTGGACATAGTTTGTTCCACTGGTGTTTTTCAGCTTGGCAGTTTCTGAATTGAAATTTGTAAAGCCTCAAATGTTGAAGCAAAATTACAGGAGGGTCATGGGACTAAATTAACTTAACTTGACTGCTGTGAGTCCCTGATGGTATCTATTAATACCATTATTAATTAATACCTTTACTAATTCCACTGCTGGATACTCCCATGGCCCAAGAGCCCCGGGACTGTTGGTGCTCACAGTTTAAGGTGTTGTTTCCTAGTTCCATGTAGTTGTTTTTCAAGGGAAGCCCGGAGAAGTTGACTCTGATTGTTGAGGATCAGAAAAACATTTGTGTTCATGATTGTTGAGGATCAGAAAAACATTTGTGTTCAATACAATTGGGATTCTTATCTTCCTCCGAAAGTGGAACATAAATGAAAAGCTGCTGCTGCCCTCTTTTTGTCTTGTCTCCTCCTAGGCCAGGACAGTGACTATGAAGGTCTGCTCGCTGCCAGTTCCCTCTCCACTTTGCTGGATGTACAGGGTCTCAGTGATCTGGAGAAAAGTCTGTCACCCACACCGGTAATGGGGTCTCCCAGCCATGACCCTTTCAATACAAGTGTTCCAGAAGAGGTATTTGCACTCAGTATTTCCTTCATGTTGAAGAGACTGTGTCTTTGCAAGTTAAAATGCTGTTGACAACGTGAAAAGCCCGGGTTCTTTTCTCAGTTCAGTTACTGACTCAGTTTGTCCTGGCAATTTTTGTGTCCTACAGGACATTATTTGAAATGTAAGTTTTTTCCTCTTTTTAATAAGTAAATGCCTTGGGCAGTGTCAAAACTGCTTAAAATATAATTCTGGAAAAACATACAAATCCCTTGGAGATAGATAAATAAATATGGGCGATATGACACCATGACTGGTTTACACGGCTGACGGGATATTTGAAAGCTGCTAAGAGAGGAGATCATGAAAATTCTCATCACAAGGAGCAAAACTTTTTCTTTTTTTGTGTGTATATCTATATGAGGTGATGGATATTAACTGGACTTTGTGGTTTATCACTTCATGCTATGTGTAGGGCATTATGCTGTACACCTTAAACTTATGCAGTGCTGTTTGTCAATTATATCTCCATAAAATGGAAGGAAACAAACAAGGAATTAGTTAAAGAAAAGAAACATTTTAGAGGGAAAAAGACCCTAATTATTAAATATATGTTTATACTGAGGGGAAAATAACATTGACAGCCAATGTGCATGGTATGTTTATAGAGAGAGGCTGCTGTTACATGTAGGATACACCCAGACAATCTCAAGCCCTTAAAAAAAAAAGTCTTTACTGTGTGAATTGTAGTTTAGTGACAGATCTTTAGTTTGGAGCAAGAATGATATGATGAGGATTGAGGGTGTTCAGCCTCATTTTTAGAGAAAAGCTGGGATGGAGATTAGAGGTTGGGAGTTGAAGTCTTAACATTTGACATGAACTCAAGAAAATGGATCAGTCAGCTATGGAGCTATTTTTTCCTCCATGATTAGGAACCTACAGAGATATTATGAACCTTAGGAAAAAGCAGATGATAGCTAAATAAATTGCCTGGAATTAGTCAAAAGGATTCAAACAACAACAACAAAAAGACAGTGAAATAATCTTATATATTATATTAATAGGACTTATTGAAGAACAAATTCAACTGAGTAAATTTTAAAGATCTTACTGGCTTTATTTGGTGATTTGTGAACTGAGCAATATCCATTCTAGCAGGTAGAATGTAATTCCAAGGAGCTGTATAAAATGAAGGGCTTTTATGGGCAGAAGGGAACAGGCACTGAGAGAAGTCACACAAGTCATTTGCTGATTGCTTAAAGCAAGGTTTTTTTGTTTTTTCAGTGTGTTCAGTGTTTTTTATATTAGTTCATGATGTCGCTCACAATCTCACTGCACTACCATTGTCAGAAACTGTGGAAAACCACAGTATAAAAATTCTTTCACAGAGTCCCTCTTTAGGATATACAAGGCGTTTGTTTGGGAAAATGTATTTATTACTCATTTTTTTTGCTATAATACCATTGATATTAAACAAAGTATTTTAAGTGGTAGCCAAAGTACATTATAATTTGTTTTCATTATACTTTTCATCAATTCTGTTAATTAAAGTTAGTCAACTTGCTCACATATAGAATAATAATTGACTGGTTTGACCCATGTTCTATATTAGACTAGTTGTAGAAATTAAAGTGAAAATAATGCTTTGTTTACAAAGCACGTTACCCACATCTTCAGTAATTGCCCTGGGCTGCCACCCAGGTAGGTAAGTTGGTCAGAGCCAAGATTTCGACCAAGGCTGAAAGCGCTAGGGTTAGCTATTAACTTGCGGAATGGTTTTTATTATGCCCTATTCACGATATTTGGTGTCCTATTCAAACCAAGGTCAGAAATCACCTGCCTCCAGAATGTTTTCTCTGATCAACACTTCTAGAGGTTTATATCTTGAAACCATTTTATGAATATTAGAATAGAGTTCTGATCAGAGGTGTATGGCATTTTATCCATAGACTGTTTAACTGTCTTACTTAGTTTCAGTCTCTCTTTGGCTTGTGTTTTGTTTTCTGTTGGACTGGCTTTTGACCTTCTTTAATCACGTCACAGTTCCACACCAGCATCCTGCAAGTTTCGATCCCTTCGTCATTGCCAGCACCTAAAGGCTTGGACAGTTCCAAAAAAGCAGCATCGCCTCCTACCCTAGAGACTTCGTTTGAAGAGAAGTATGTCATTTATGAGCTAATGTTGCAATATCATGTTCAAAAAAGTAGATCAACCATAACAAGACTACATTTCATTTATTTACAGGCACAGTTTTTACCCAGAGAAGGAAGAAACAGAAAGGCATATGCCAAGAGACCCTTGATCAGTTCTGTATTATTTTAAAAAATGGTGTGAAACAAGAAGTACTAGGAGATGAGGCTGAGGACATGTGGTGGTCAGGTTTAGAGAGGGTTTGGGGGAACTGGGATTTTATATCCTGGGTCCCAGTGGCTCTCAAATGGTTGCAAGCAGAATAGCAACAGTCATGGACTTGAGGCTGTTGGGAAGATGCCATGAAGGACCCAAGGAAGGGGTGCAGTAGTTTCTCCGTAAGCACATTCACTTAGAACATATATGGTCTTTTATTCATGAAGCTCATAAATACCTTTTTTTACATTTTAGTGATGAAAAAATAATCCTCAGTGCTGCTGTTGAAACTCAACTGTGTGACGGTCATTCGTAAGTTATTTTTTTCTGATGTGAAATATGGGATTGATACTTGGGAGACAGGACATTTCTGTTACCCTAACAATAACCAGTATTAAAAGTGAATGACTCTGAGGCCTGAATAAATTAGTGCAGCTGTAATAATTGGATGGAGGTAAAGGGGAGGGTTGTAAGGTAACAAAGAAATTCTTGCTCCTTTCATTTAATGTCAAGTCTCTGCAGATCTTGAATCTTTTTCAGTTTTCATTTGAAGTCCAGTGCTTTTAATTTTATATTTTAAACCTAGCACGGAAGAGACAGAATGATGTGATGGCTGGAAAGGATGCAGTGATTTTTTTGCACTTTCAATTTAATAAACTGACCTAATTTCTATGTTTATCCAAGTTAAAGTCTGGATTAAATTTGGAAAATCTATTTTCAGTGCAATTCTCAAAGATGAGATCTTTTCTCTCCTCACCATTATCTCTTACTATATTTGGTAGTGGACAATTCTAGCAACTTACACATGAATACATGAGAAATGCCTTTAAAAGCTTGATTGTGTATTTACATTATTCTGTTTCTTAGAACAAACATGTTACTTTTTTCTCTCCCTCTTCTTAAACTGGTTACATATTCCTGCCTTCAAGTTTTGAGTAAGACCAACTCTACAAAACAGAATGCTAGTTATGTAAAAAAGAAAATCTCTGAATGTCACTTTGTCTTTATAGGGATAACAAATGGATTATTATGAGTTTTAATAGGGATTCTTCTGTTAAGCTTTGATCAGAACTGTTAAATAAAGTGCTTTACCAGACTCAGAAAATTGACTTCTTTGTCAATTGAAAAGCAAAACTTTCATCCTTTATTTTAATTAGAAGGATTCTATATAAATGGTACATGAGTGTTTAAAAAGTTCCTGGTGTAAATGTATACATGCAAAGGATGCACCACTAGTCCATGGAAAACACTGTTTTATTTTCAGGTATTGACATCACAGGGAGAGTCCTAAGTGTTTTTCCAGCTATTCTAACATGTGCAGGACATTTAGTTATTGGCAGGAGAGTTAACCACCCCTGCTATTAAAAGAACTAAATGTTATAATTCAGTTACGCACATAACTAGCTGCCTGAAGCCAGATTTTCTTTTACTAAGAGGATTCAGCACACACACAATTTTAGTTTCTTTCCAAGAAATTCTACTTAGAAACAGTGGCACCAGAGCCTATTAGTATTAATCCTAATTATTACTGTTGTTATTTTTAGAACTTCAAGTCTGCAGAAGTCCAGCAGCCTGGGCAGTCTGAAGAAAGAGTCATCAGATGGGGTTGGTTCTGTTTTTTTCTGTCTCTTACCCGGAGAAGAAAATATTTAGGCAGCTCCATTTTTTCCCATTTTCCAAATAAAACTCTTAAGAAGAGTTTATACTTTCTCTAATGAAAAATTATTAGAATACCAAAGTTAATGTAAACATTAAGAAATACAACTATGAAGAGTTGAAAGTAGTATAAAAAATACACAGAAATGAAGAATTTAATAAAACAGTGTCAGATATAAATGGAACTATAGTTTTGTAGTTTAGAAGTAGATGTAAATTTAATTTATGGAATTGTATGTTGCAAATTCTGAATGTGTAAAGGATTCCTTTGACAGGAAAAGGAGTCCATTCAGAAGGCTTCAGAGGTAATTTTTTTGTTCAGATTACAGTGTGAAATGTTTGAAACTTCTGATACAAGTATGGGACTTCTGGTACGTAAGATTGCTTAAATGTCTCCAGTAAACAGAAACTCTCAGAACCTCCAAAACATGCTACACAAAGGAAGGTAGACACCAAAGATGACATGATTCCATTTATGTGAAATATCCAGAATAGATAAATCCATGGAGAGACAACATAGCTTGGCGGTTGCCAGAAGTGGAGGAAAGAGGAATGGGGAGAAATTGCTTAATGTTTATGAGGTTTTATTTTGTGGTGATAGAATGTTTTGGATCCATATAGAGATGGTGGTTGCACGACATTATGAATGTATTAAATGCCACTGAATTGTTCACTTTCGAATAGTTACTTGTGTGTTATATGAATTTCACCTCAGTAAGTTATTGAAAAAAACAGAAAAACCTCCAACTCTCAATCATACTGTTGATGTTAATGACCATAGCTGGGCTTCCTTAGACCTCACAAAATGTCCTTCTTAGATCACCAGCAATTTATTTTACACCACAGTCTGTCTCCAGCAAATAGTTTGGTAATTTTAAAGACATCAGCAGCAGTGTTTCTGGTTCTTCCCTTTGATTTTTCAATTCTTAACCTTCTAAAGGTTACAGTCTGGTAGACAGATACAGTCTTGACTGTTGGCTCTTAGCGCCTTGAGTCATGACGTAAGGCATGACTGATGAAGCTCATACAGTGAGCACAGCTGAATTAAAGTCGTCCTCCGTTCATTTTGTCTTGCCAATTCATTACATGATTAAATGATTTTGACATCAGTGTTGAGACATAGATAATAGTACTACTAAATTGTGGCATCTGTAAACTTCTGGTTACTATAAGGAGTAGACATGTAGAGTAAAATAATCTCCTTAAAAGCCTACACCCATCTCCCCTCTTTCCACCTCTGCAAAGAAAGAAGCAGAGAGTAAGAGAAGGCAGGGAAAGGGGCACATGAGCACAGAAGCATCTTTGGGACACTAACAAACCGTGTTCCTCTAATTGCAAATTCAAATAACCAGAAAGTTAAAAAATAAGCAATATTTAAAAGCATAACTTCATCATGATTGAAGTTCTTGATAAAGACCTTGAAATACTGTAGATAGCTGAAGTGGCTTGTGAATCAGCCCCCCAAAAAATTTCATTGTAGCAAGTTTAGTTTCGATGTTAAGTGTATCCGTATGTATTGTAATCTTTGAAAACTGGTGATCCACGTTAGGTAACTTGCAGACAAGATATGAATATTCCAGAATCCCATTAAAAAAATAATTTGTACAGTTGCTGATTTTTCATTTTATTGTTAATTATTTGAGAAGAATATTTAAAATAACTAGAGTAGACTTTCCGTATACTGCTGGCATGGAAGCTTGAGACTGATGCCTACTTTGTATGATTATATTATGTTAGGCTTCTGCTGATGTAGTAATACTATAAAGACTGAACTGTATTATAGCCAAGTCTGTCATAATAGTTAGAAAAGTAAGAAATCTACACCTATTCTAGTTGTGTCATATTTTATCGCCAGGTCTTTGGGAGAATGAGACAAGTAAAATCAAAATAAATTTGAGAATTTCTGTATCTTTTGTAATTTTTTTATCTTATATTTCAGTTCTAAACACATGGATTATATATTAGCAATGAGTATATTTTTGTGGTTGCTGCTATAAGTAACTTTCAGAATTGACTTCTTAAACTTTTTCTATAGCATTTGATATTCGTGATCAGTGTGTTAGTTCAGTTATTCTTTTAAATGAAATCATGTGTGTAACAGATGTAGTATTGTGCCTGGCATGTATGACGATGGTGCACATCTGTGCTGCGCCACATGCACCATCACCTCTGTCTCAGGATAATGCTCTCGCGGAAAGCAGCCCACTAGCGAGCCTCCCTCCTAAAGCTTCCGGACGCGACACCTCCGTGGACGACAGCCCCTTTGGCACTCGAAAAGCCAGATCTTCCTTCGGCCGTGGCTTTTTTAAAATAAAAAGTAACAAGAGGACAGCAAGTGCCCCAAACTTGGGTACGTACAGCCAGAATGCTTTTGTCCTAATTCTTTCAGAATGAGGAAAAGATCAAGCTCTTCCCCCACCCCTTACTCATCTATTGATACAGTTCTCTTTCTCAGAAAGAAGGTGAATGAATTGGGGGGAAAGTTAGCAAAAATGCTTTTGTGGGTTTAATTCAGTGGTGAAAAAAGCTCTGGGTGGACTTTCTGTTCTCTGTCCTGGGGTCTAAAATGAGAGGAAAGGCCAAAATCCATGATTCTCTCTGACTTCCTTGTAAACAGCTTCCCATCTGTTTTCGAAGTGGATCAATTCGCCCCATATCCATAGTGCTACTGGAGTCTGTGTGTTAAGTTGGAAGCACAGTGCGGTGCTTGCCTTCCCTCCCACTGTGTGTATTTTGTGAGTAGGAGTTTGATTTGTGTTTCATTTTGTCGCCCTGTGTTCTCTCCATTGGCTGCATGTGATTGTGTGCGTTGTTGGGATATCTGAAGATCGTAAACGAAGTGCCAGTGCACCCACCTTAGGTATCGTACCCTGCATGCCGGCCTTCGCCAGTTCTGTGCTCCAAGCCGAGCTAATGCTTGCTCTTGGCGTCTGTGATCTCTCGAAAGCAAGCTGGCAGCAATCAGAAAATGTAGTTCTCTACTCCACAGTGTTCCTTCCACCTTCTGCTAAAGGGGACTTTCTGTAGGTTCTTTGCTTCCAAGCTGAAATGCTGTCTTAACCAATCAATGCTAATGCACCTTGCAAGTGTCTCTGGAAGGACCCGGATGTGCACAGCGTCACTCAGACTGCAGGGCACAAATGTCCTGGCTTCATAAATTCCAGCTCCTTCATCCCTGAAGCTCACTAACTCCTAGGTCCTTGCAGTTCCTTCTCCATGTTTACATTTTCCACAGCCTCCAGAAACAAATGTTTTTAGCCAAATAGGGAGGGAGGCCTGTGGAAGACTCTGAAAATGACCTTTTTAGACATCTCCTACGGGAATATTCTTCTGACATTTTATTGCTTTGAAGATGAAGGCAACATTTAATGGTGACAGAGGCAACTCTGTGTTATCTGAGGAGTCGCCCCCAGAGTGAACTTAAGAGAGAGGAGGCTCAGTTTTCCTCTCTGAGACCTCTCAGGGTACAGTAAGGAAAAAAGTCCTCAAAATAAAAACTAAAAATTGGATGCTTTTAAAACAAGGGTCATCTAGACAACATTTTCAGGGACACCCATACCCATCATGGTTATAGGGTTTGAATGGAAAGGTTCCTTTGGGGTTTCCCAATAGGTTCTGTTAACCTGGGATAGATAGTCACATCTCTATTCTTGTGAATCAACAAAGGTGGACTTCTCTCTCTTTGAAATCTTAATTGTCTAGAACACCAGATGAAGAAAATAAACTGACCTGTTCAGATAACTATTTTCAGACGTATTTGCATCTTTCTCAGAGAACTGTAATGCTACGAGGCGAATGCTGCTTACTATAACCTATAATCACAGCTCTGCTTCATAGAAAAGTCAGCCTCTGCAACTTTCATATCTTGCTGAAACACAGTTTCTGTGATTTTTGTGCAACTTCTACTTTCCTCTCTGAAAGTGTGCTCTCACTGAGGAAGCAGTGCCTCTCATGTCGGCTAGTGTGGATTGTCTATTAAGGGTCAACTAAAAGAGCTAAAGTAGTTCATTCTGGGAGATCTAAGAGGAGCAAATTTGGATGCCATGTCAAGGCAAAATCAACAGGCACTTGTTTTATATCAAAAGAAAAATTTTGCATGTCCAGTTCTTCTCTGAGTGCCTAGGACACAACAGGTTGTTAATAGGAATGTATATCTTGAATAAAGAGTTGCTACTACTTGGTAACTGATTTGATATGAGTGTCAAAGGAGAGGAAGGAATGAAAAGAAAATGATAGAACTAGAACTAGAGTAAGAGGGACAGTTGATTAGTACTAATGAAATATTAAGTAAGACAGTTTAAGAGAAGACTCTCAGGAAAATTGGATGGATTTGTTGAGTCCATGATCCTGGCACATGGAATGGGGAATATCCACAGACATTCATGTACTGAGGCTGGGGACAAAAATCGTGTCCAGAGATTTTGATGCCAGCTGCCTATAAATCGATCATTTAGTGTTTAGCATAGAATGGTTGAGCTTGTCAAGATGTCCCACAGAGGGACCTCGAGCACAATCTTGGAGTGGGAGAGGGAGTGAAAACGGATGCTGCTGCAGAGAAGAAACGATCAGATGACAGACCCAGGAGAGTGTCAGGGAAGAAGCTAAAGGAGATGATGATTTTGAAGGGTGTAGGAGGGAGTCAACAATACTAAGTGCTACAGCAAGATTGAGAGTAATTTCGTGATGAATTCAAATCACACAAGGAAAGAATATGGCAATTCTGTCACATCTTTGAATCTCAGAGGTTGTAACTAATCTCAGAGCATGTAAGTGAATTAACTTTCCACGCAGTAGAGTAGACTATAGAGCAGGGCATACAGTCATGTTCCGTTTTTTTAGTACCTGCTCAGTGCTGTTTGTAAATCACTCATTTATAGACCAACAGAAGAAGAATTTTTAACAGTTGCTAAAAACGAGGTTAACGTCTAGTCATGTTCATTCCATATTTTCAAATTCATCAATTTTGTATTCTCTTCTTGGAATAGCTGAAACCGAAAAGGAGACAGCCGAGCACCTAGATCTGGCTGGTGTACCTTCCCAGCCAAAAGATTCACAGGGAAGTGGTCCCTTCCAAATCACTCCTCCATCGCCAGACTCCAGAAAGAAATCCCGAGGTATCATGAAGCTCTTTGGAAAGTGAGTAACAGAGTGACACACGGAGAGGGCTTTGTTTTATGCTGCTCAAATGTAGAAATAAATGGGAAATGGGCTGCAAATGGGTACGAAAGTCTAAGACTTCTGTGTTTCTTTTATGGAAGGAAGATTGTAATTTGAGCTTCATTGACTCATTAGGTCTCAGTTAACATTTAAATCCAAATGTCTATTCTAACCATATATGAGCACTACTTTAAAATGTTCTGATTAAAAGTCTAAAACCTCCTCAGATCTAATACAGGACAACATGTGTTATGTTTTCTGTTCAGGCTCAAGAGAAGTCAGTCAACTACATTCAACCCAGATGACATGTCTGAGCCTGAATTCAAACGAGGAGGGACAAGGGCAACCGCAGGGCCCCGCCTGGGTTGGTCTCGAGACTTGGGACAATCTAACAGGTGAGACCAGCCAAACGAACGGACCTCTGCCTCTCAACCCAAGAGTCAAGGCCTCCTGAGCACCTCCAGTGTTAGGACTGACCCTGGATTAAGAAAGCAAATCCGTTACTTCCTGCCCTGCCTAGTGGAAGGAGCATCATCTTTAGAGTGGTGCAATTTGGCAATGGTTGGTAACACACTATACAGAAGATGCGGGCTCTGGGAGCCTGGTGAGGAACCGGAGCTTAAGTGTCAGCAACATCTGTACAAGAATAGTTCTTGGACTTGAGTTTTGCATAGAAAATAATTAAAAGTACTCTGAAGCATAGCTCTGGAGAGATGGGATACTACCGTGGTTAAGAGTAAGTTCTAGAAGCAGACTGCTTGGATTTCTGTTGGTTTCTATACCACCTCCCACAAGCTGGGTGTCCCCGAGCAACCACCTCCATGCTCGGTGCCTCCGTTTCCCATAGCATTAATCAGTACCTACCCCAAAAGATGACTGTGAAGATTAAGTGAGTTAATTTGTGTTAAGTATCTGGCAAACAATAACTGTTCAATAAACATTAAGGATTAATGGAGTCTGTGAAAGCCCTGAAAGATATAAGTTCTATCAGAATTCTTAAGTGTATCAGGGCTGTGGAATGTTCTGTCTGTTAAGACTGCAACACCTTTACACCCTTATCACAGTTTAGGGCCAGTTTGGAACTACACTGACCTACTGAGTATAGAGAGGGTGGGGTTGGCAAATATGTAGCAGGAGTCATTGACACTAAATCTTTGAAAAGTGATCATGGAAACCTTTTAACCGTGGTTCCTTCTCCCCCAGGCAGAAGACTGGGCACAAGTTTCATCAAGGAGGAACCTCTTTGGCCTTCTTCACATACCAGTCTCCATTGCCATGTGTTCTCTCTGTACACAGTAGAGGACTTCCTTGTGCTATTAAAAAAAACAGAAAGTCTTTTCATCCACATTTTTTTTCCCAAACAAGAACACTGTGTGTCAGTTTAAAAGAAAAAGACATTTGCTTTGATTATGTTTTCCTATATTCAGTGATGGCATATTGCCCTCTTCTCATTGGTTATCATCTAGAGGGAAACCGTAATTCTCCTAAAGTTAATTCAAGTTAGACTTGCGTATCCTTCCATCTGACCCAGTTTTTTCTTTTGGGAATTCGGTCTTCAAACAACATTGGTCGAAACTAATAGAATGGCCTGACTTGTTGGTTCAACTCAGTCTTCTATAGAATGTGTTCTTGCTAAATCACATTGAATCTTTTGTGTTTTCATTTGAAATGAAAACTGGTCTTACAAGGCAACTTTCCACTCCAGTGTCACCTTCTCTTCCAAATATGTACTGAAAGTTAAGCTTTTCACGGTCAAGTGTATAACACCAGGGAATTCTCCTATCTATTGAATTACGGGTGTTCAACCTAGATGGTAAGCCGTAGGATTGGATGAATTGTCCTTCATGCAGCCGTTCATTTCCCTGCAGTGACTTGGATATGCCATTTGCCAAATGGACCAAAGAACAAGTTTGCAGCTGGCTTGTGGAACAGGGTTTGGGGTCCTACCTGAATTCTGGCAAGCACTGGATTGCATCTGGCCAAACACTTTTGCAGGCTTCCCAACAAGATCTGGAGAAGGTGACCACTTCTCTGTTTTGTTTACACAATAGAGACTGAGTGAGAGAAAGAGAATATGAATGTAAGAGTGTTTTATACTCCCGAAGGGGGAGTGGGTGGAGCCAGTATGTACTCTTCAAAAGTTTGGGTTTCCTGCTTCATACTTATTTTATCTCGTGGACTTTAAAGGAAGGGCCTGATCTTAATGATTCTTTATGGAATACTTAAACCACTGGCATTTTTATGGAAAATAATGTATAGTCATACTAATAAATCTTAAGCTCATATTTCTCAGAATCATTTTGGGACTTTGTTGACCCATCTTCTCAATGTAATATATGCAATTCAACTTAACTTTGTAAAAGGAAAAAAAAACACATTTTATGTCCAATTATTTAACATTTCTCCCCAGCTATTCAACGTTTAGTACGAAATAGGAGCATAATTCCTGTTATGTGTGTATAGTTCCAATCTTGCAAAGGAAGGAGCCCACTAGGAAATGTCTAACACACCATCCAACCGACTGCAGTGGGCGTGGCTTTCTAGGAGCCTTTTTTCCACATTTTCCTAGTCTGAGATAGGATTCTGAGTGAATGTAATTGTCAGGTCTTCAACTCTAGTCTCATTTTGGGACTTTGTGTTCTTTGCCAGTGTTGACACAACTGTAAAGCCAGTTTTTCTGTTTATTATTTCAGGAACTTGGAATCAAACATTCACTCCATCGAAAGAAACTCCAGCTGGCATTACAAGCCCTGGGGTCCGAAGAAGAAACCAATCACGGAAAGCTGGACTTCAACTGGGTCACTAGTAAGAGGTTTTAAATTCTTAAATAAGCAAATAAATACATATCGCTGCCTTTTCTTTTCAACCACAAGAACAGGCGTTCCATGGCTCATTAGTGACACTGATTTCGCCCCGTAGGATGGTTGGATGACATTGGCCTCCCGCAGTACAAGACCCAGTTTGACGAAGGGCGGGTAGATGGCCGAATGCTCCATTACATGACTGTTGTAAGTGACTTGCTCCTCGGGTTTGGGGGAATAAAATTGCTTTTCTCTGAAAAACACAGAAATAGAAGAAGAAAAATACAGTGTTTCACAATGATTCCACTGGAGTTTGAAGGTGTTGCTTTAACTTGAGGAGAGGGGCAGGAGTATTTCTGGTAAAGATAAAGTTGTAGGATTTGGGGATTGCAACAGCCTTGGGAAATTCAAAACTCTGATGCATGACGCTGATTTAAACTAAGCTGTCCAGGAAGTTGATTGTGGTACATATTTAACCCTGTAGACATTGAAGTGTACACTTTCAATGGGTAAATTTTATGGCATGTGAATTATATCTGATAAAGATGCTTTAAAAATAGAGGGAAGGTAGAGTTTTAAAGCCCTGACAGTTTCTAAGTTATGTATTCCTATATGCAGTGACCACTCAGAAGAGGTGACCCCCTGACCTGACATCCATAGGGACTTGTCTTTTCCCTTCCCTCCCACTCTGGAGAACTACTACCTGAAACCTGCTTCCCTTCTCACTTCGGTCCAGTTCTGCTAGGGCAGGAGTCACTGGGTAAAGTGGGGAAAGGTAGACTTTCACTGTGATTCCTTCATTATTGTTTTGTATTTCTAGCTTTCCATTCAACGGGTTGAGGGACTTCTCCCTACTTTGCCACCGTGGTGAGAGATGGATTCCAGGAGAACTTGTTCTAGATTCTATAGCATGATTAGAAGTAGTAGTATACTATATATACACACGCACACACACACACACATATATGTATATATACATGGCATTAATATACTATTATTATAATATAAAGTAGTTAATATATACTTATGTGTTAATATTAATATAATACTTATGAAATATATGTAACCTATATCATGTGAATTATATACACTATTCATACATAGTGCTGTTAGTGCTTTAGGTACTTTTATTTCAATGGCTTTTTGTGAGCTAGGCTATGGATCCAGCTATGACAAGTATCTTCAAATTTAGGTTGAAAGTTTCAAGCAGCTAACTTAAATAGGAATTTTTCAGTATCAAAGAAATTTGGAATTGAGCTCACAGGATTTGGTTCCTTTCCTATCGTTGAACTGAAGTCCATGCCTTGATGGGCATATCATGTAAACCTGCATGTATTTATACTCAAATCTCAGCAGTCCTTGAATTAGCACTCTTAGCCCCAGGTTTTAGATGAGGAAAGGAAGGAGTCAGGAAGTTGGGTAACTTAAGTGAGTTGTCCTAGTTAGCAGGAAGTAGGCAGTTAGTCATAGAGTCTTTGAGCCCAGGCTATTACCAGATCTGTGCTCTTAATAGCTCACTACAATGCCTGGGAAAAAATTCAGGAAATATTTGCCTGTCTATCTAGGTATAAATATTTTCCCATGGGTATGGGAGCAAATTCAGGCTTAAAATCACCAGAAGCACACCTATAACTTTGATGGCTATAAAAGAATAAATTACCTTAGAAAACTTAACCCCCGAAGTCCTAAGTCGCAGAATGTCTGTTCTAATGTGGTTTCCTGTTTTGGATATTGGAACAGAAAAAGAGCCTAATAGAAAAACTGGTGAAGTGTGAATAAAGTCTTTAAATTTTATTATTGTCTATATTAATTTTTTAGCTTTGATGACAATATCATGGTTATATGAGATGTTAACAGTAGGGGGAACTGGGTGAAGGGCATATGAAATTATCCGTACTATATTTGGTAACTGCGTAAATCTAAAATTGCTTAAAAATAAATTATTTAAAAAATCTTTTAAAGTCTGTATTGATTTAAAACAGTCTCTACTTTTAAAACCCCTTAAGCTGAAATAATTAACATTTAATTTACCCTGTAAACATGCATTTAGATTATTTTTCAATCTAATAAACATTAGTTAGTTGAAAATAGCCCACATAGAAATGTTGTGAGTGGATGTCTCAATCTTAGATTAAAATATGTTGAGTGCCATTTCTAATTTATCATAAGGCACTGCCTAAATTTAAGAAATTAGTCCAGGAAAAATTCAGGAAATGATTTTTGCTCTGTTAATAGATTTAAAGGATTTAAATTTCAGGATTCAAACTGATTGTTTATTTTTATTTTTTTAAATATTCCTAAATATCTTTTTTTCTACTCACAAGAAATGTTAAAAGCAAGGTGTGCCTAAAATGGATATTTCCCTAGTTTATTTTCTGGATGTGTTTGGGAGTAGACCAGTGCTTACCTTGACACTGCCCCCAGACCACCTTCTAAAATAGTTTGTTTTGGTGTGTTTCTGAAATGTTCCCAGTAACGACAGACTGGTGAGAGTTATTCCTTGAAGGAACTGATCTGTAGTATAAGTTGCTACTTATAACTTCATTTCTCTCCTCTCCTTAATTCTCCGCAGAACCTTGCATTGATTGACATAATTTTTCCAAAACTGTTCACATTGTCTGCTAGGTGAAGCATGATAATCTCTACTAGAGATTTTGTAAGGCTGGGGAGGGAGAGAGTATAAGAACCCTCTCTTCTGGTTTGCCCCAAAACTGTCATGTGCCTTGGCTCGGAAAACCAAGCTTGGTCATCAATGAACATTGCTTGCTCTTGGATATCTGCTTCATCAAAGCGGATCAAAGGGGATCACCCTTTGTAGTGACCCAGCAAATGCTTTTCAAACTGGGTTTCAAAGCCATGGGGTCCCACGACCCTATCTCAGAATGTCTGAGGGAGAAACAGGTGGAAGGCTGCTTTAGGTGGAACAGCATTAATTGTGGTTATCTTACATATTGGGGTCCTGGAGAGAATTCTGTTTGGAAGGGTTCTGTTACTAACCATGAGGCCTGAAAACATGGACAAGCCTTCGGAGCCTGATGTCAGAAAGACTCTTCTACTTTGACCCGCACGTTCTAAGATCTCCCTGAGAAGGTCCTCCTGCTCTAGGCCAGCTCAATGAGCCCCTTTTTCTTTTGTTTTGGGTTTTTTTTTTTTTGCAGGATGACTTACTGTCTTTGAAGGTTATGAGTGTGCTACATCATCTCAGTATCAAAAGGGCCATCCAGGTCCTGAGGATCAATAACTTTGAACCAAACTGCCTACGGAGGCGACCATCTGACGAGGTAGCATTTGAGGCTGAGGTTCCTACAGCCTGCACTTCCCCTTTGCCTGACTGGCCGTGTGTGCAGACTAACACGGTTTCTCCTCGGAGCTGCCAGGAAAAGCCCCTGGTCTCTGCAGAGTCAGCTCCAGCCTCAGTTACTTCCTAGGCTTTGTTTTCCTATTTTCCCATCTTTCCCCCTATAATGGCTCTACCTGCATAACTGAAGCCAAGGATTGTTTCTTACTTACCGCCCCTCCTTGTCTTGGGTGTGTTTTGTGTTCCTGCCTCCTCCGGCCACAGGGTTGAGTATCACTGGAAAGCCTTCCTTGGCTGAAGTCCTGCTTTCTTAGTGGGTAAAAAAGCTTGAAACTCTGTGACCTAGATTCCTTACAAGAGAAGTCAAATTAGCTAAACGTGTGGTGGGATATTGAGTAGCTCTGCTCCGTGGGGCAGGCTTTTTAGACAGAACGTACAGGTTTACATTTGGAATCTACAGTCAACAGCTGAAGCTCTTGGTGTGGTTTGTTCCCACAGAACACCGTCACCCCATCAGAGGTCCAGCAGTGGACCAACCACCGGGTGATGGAGTGGCTGCGCTCCGTGGACTTGGCAGAATATGCCCCCAATCTCAGAGGCAGTGGCGTCCACGGTGGGCTCATGGTAAAACTGTTTTAATTTAAAATTGTCTTCCTAGCTAATGTTTCCATTAGTCTCATGAGTTATGATATTATCATTTTTCTTGTCATAATCCTGAAGTCATCTAACTGAACCCTTCTGCACTATTGCTAGTGAATCTACTTTCAGAGTACTTTTCCCCATATTATTTATTTTCCTTATTGATTTTCCCCCTATTTTTTATTTTTACTTAGATCAGATTTAAGCCCATTTCTCTCTTATTGCCCTCTTTTATGTTGGATAATATCTGGCCACTGGCTCTCTCCTATGACCATATATTGAAACACGTGCAAAGATACAGGTTGTATTTCTACATATTGACTCTCCTTCCGAAAGGCACCACTTCAGAGACATAAAAGCCCTAACTTTGTAATGCCCGGATGTCAGGACCAGCTCTACTTCTCACTAACTCGGGTGAAATAAAGAAAAGATATGTAAATTGAAGACCAGAGTCCATATTCTGTCACTGCGCTGTCGAGAGGGTCATTGGAGATAGAACTATGATGGAGCTCTGCAACTAATGAAGCACGGTGCAGACACGCGTGTTCTATGGTACCTTAAACAACCTTAATTTTTCTTATAGGTTCTAGAACCTCGTTTTAATGTAGAAACAATGGCTCAGTTATTGAACATCCCACCAAGTAAAACCTTGTTGCGAAGACACTTGGCCACTCATTTCAACCTTCTGATAGGTGCTGAGGCTCAACGGCAGAAGCGTGAGGCCATGGAGTTACCAGATCATGTTCTTCTAACAGCCACTGCCAGAGTGAAGGTCGGTTCAAGCTCATGCCTTCTAACCACTGCCTGTAGCAAAGGCTCAGTCTGGGGTTTTCTGGGGTTCACTAAGTGTTTTTACTAAGTGTTTACCAAGTTTTGTGAATGGGTTGAAGGTATATGCATCTTATTTTTTTTTTAATGCCCCTTTAAAATTAAGAAAATGCATTTTTGAGGGTTTTCTTCTGTGGGGAACGGTAAAAAAGAGTTAAAAGTAAAAAAGAGCATGATGTTGCCTTCGATACTTCATACATTGCCAATGCAGAGCACCCATGACTTGGCCCAAATACTGCCTGCAGTTGTCCTATGGAGAGATCAAGTATAAGAGGAGGATTTCTCCTGGTACAGGTTAAGCTTATAATTGACCAACCTCACACGTTTGGAAAAGATACTTAATAAACGATTCAAGGTAGACAAGCAGAGAAGGAATATTTCCCCATTTACCTGGATTCATGAATCACACCAAGTTCAAATTATTTTCTCTTCTTTTAAATGTCCTCGGTGAACTCTTCTGAGTCTGTCACCCCAGCCAACTTAATGTGGGGTTAGGGTTTATCAGCCCCTCCACAAATACCAAGTTCTCTTTTTTCTAAACCCCCTCTATCTGCCTGATGCTTTCTCTGTTGCTCCCTTTCTCCTGAAGAGATGTACCAGACCCAAAACCGCTGAGAGGTTCTGGGCTGTTTAAATTCTCAGCATCAGCCTGGTCACTGTCACCTTAACAGATGGGCTCAGGGACTAACTTGGAGTTGCCCTTCTAAGTGTCACTGGGCATTCTTGCTCCAAGACAACAGGGATTCTTTAAGCAGACACCTGTCCTGTTATCGAATCATAACAGGCATATGACATCATCATACCCTCACCCCCAAAAACAGTACAGTAAGGACCACTTTCTTTTGCTGATCTTAGATTGGAAAACCTTGCAAAATTTTATTCTTCATTGAGAAATCCCATTGCATTAGTTGTATTTAATCAAAACTAAGACCCTCTTGCTTATCACAGTGACTACCCAGCTAGTTGGTGTGAATAAGGTGAACGAGCTTAATCTTCTGAGATTCATACTAAGGATCTTTTTTCATATTTGGATGCATGAATCATATGCCTACGATGCCTTGGTGTTTGTTATCAGTTATCATCCAGTTGCTTTTCTCTACAAGTGGAGTGAATAATTAAATTATACATGTTATTGGTCCTTTGTCATGAGTTTTACCCAATCCTTGGGTGGTTTTGTTTTCTTTTAAAGCCAAAGAAACTTACCTTCAGCAATTTCGGGAATCTGAGAAAGAAAAAACAGGAAGATGGGGAAGAATATGTTTGTCCAATGGAATTGGGGCAGGCATCAGGAGGTGCATCTAAGAAAGGATTTAAAACTGGTTTGGACATGCGTCTGTATGACGAAGATGATTTGGACCGGTTAGAGCAGGTAAATGCAACACTATATGCCTATGAAGTTCTTCCAGCGTTGAAACTAAAGGGAAACTTTGTGCACTCTGTCTGCTAATCAAAGAAGTTTTCTTCAAATACCCTATAAATAAAGATAATGATAATATAGTGAACACTTACAGATTGCTTATGATGCTCCAGGCACTATCTTAGTTACTTAACAGGCGTTAACATTCATGGTAATCCTAAAGCACAGAGAGTGTTGTCCTCATTCTAGAGATAAGGAAACTGAGGCATAGAGAGGTGAAGTAACTTACCCAAGAAAGAAGAGCTGGTAGGAGAGTTGGAATTCCAACCTGCCAGGCTTGCTCCGAAGGCTGCCCCATTTACCAATATTATGCCCTTTCTGTATTAAGGAAATCCACATATTAAAACAAGTCAGGAATGGACAACTCATATGATCACCCTCTAATCCACGATCCTTTGGTGCCAATGTCAGAACATCAGTCTAGATGTGCCAGTAAAATGTTTCTTCTGAGTTTTAATTCCCAGTTGCAGTAGTGAGGGGAGGTTTCATCAAAAGTGTTCTTTTGCTCCAACCCATTCAATACCACTTGTATTGTTTCTTTATAGACTTCTGCTCATTTTATTGCACTTCCCTTGAAATTAGGCAGATGAGTGTGTCATGATGTGGTATATTCTTTGCAGATGGAAGATTCAGAAGGGACAGTGAGACAGATAGGTGCGTTCTCTGAAGGCATCAACAATCTGACAGTAAGTTTGTAAAATGAATTTAACATGTCAATCTAAAAGTGTATTTAAAAATAACCCTAAAAGACAGTAAAGGGAACGGAGAATGTGTTGTTCTGAGCTCTTGGCTTGCAGTGTGTGTAACTCCTGTATCCTTGTTTTGCAGCACATGTTAAAGGAAGATGATATGTTTAAAGATTTTGCTGCCCGTTCTCCCAGCACCAGCATTACCGATGAAGACTCAAATGTTTGACCCTAGCACCTGGATAAGCATTACGAGCCCTTCATCTTATTCCACTTTGTTCCTCAAACACTCACAGTATATCCATCAAGCCACAGATTGTATATTGCTTATCATTCCAGCTTCTCATTTAGAAGTGGAAATGTAAAGCGGGGGATATGTGCCTATTCTAAAGTTGCCATGAAAATCGAGACACTGGTGAATGAAAGTATAATTGTTTTTCCTTTATTTAATGTAAAAATCTGTGATATATTATATTTAAAGTGTTCCATTTAATATGAGTATTTTACCATAGTGTTCCCATTCACTTTCATAGTGCAGGGGGTTTGGGAAGCAGTAACTAGGATGTGAATGATTCTGTCACACCAGAGTGACAGCACTGCCAGCCATTAAAGCAGGACATTACATGCTTCCAAAATCAATGCGTGGAATTTCTTTAAAACGTTCAGTGTGCCCACTAAATGCCAGCCACACTTCCACTTGCCTTTTATTGTCCTATTTTTATATATTTTTTCTAAATATATGTATATACTTAGTACATAGAAAATGGAACTTTTATTTTGTAACATAAGGAAGATAGTAGAAAGATCCCATTAAAAAATGGTGATCAAAATGTTCACATGTCTGCTGGTCTCTGGAGAGGTCAGTAAGTTCTCCACAACAAAATTTTGATGTTGATCATTCAGATTAAATTAGTATATAGGAAATAGCCCTTCTTTGATGCCACATCAAAAAATTGTTGAATAGTTTTTTAAAAAATCTCGACCTTGATCTTGGGCCCTTTTATCTCAAAAAAGAACTCGAGGGACATTTAGATGCTATAAACTTGATGCATTCAGAAGCTGCCTCAAAATTTGTGGAAATAATTTCCAAAGAAACCAAACTGAAACAAAAATCTTTACAGTATTAAGCTTCTTATTTTCCCTCTTTGCTGAATACATCTTTCTATCAGAATACTAACAGGCTGCCTAATGTTGTTAATTATACATTTCTCAGACGATCAATGAGTGGGATTTTTTTTTCAAGCTGAATATTTGTCTGAACATTTTTTCTCAGAGTTCAACAACTCTGGGGCTGCAAAATTAGTTTTACAATAACTATATTGTGGTGATAAATTGTAGTTCACTTTTTCTCTATAGCACAGGGCCCAAATGTTCTTTATAAAGAAAATAGCTGCTGCAAAAACTGTTACTGTTCTTATCTTTTTTTTTTTTTTTTTTTTTAGGGATATTAGAAAAAAATTCTATTTTTTATTTAGTACTACATCATTACTCATAGCCAACTGGATAAAGACAGGTTTTCACAAATTGGCATAGAGGTGGGCAGTTCAGTATATGCCAAGGGACTTGCTTATCAATGATATCTGAACATCAGAGGCTTGACCTTTCACGTTATCAGCAAGTTACCGAGCTTTTCTTCAAGGAACCTGTAATACTAAATTTATTCCTAACTAAAATGACTTTATGCTAAAAACAGTCTTTTGCTCCCTACCATTTCATTATTTGGTAACTGTATTAGACCCTTACGGTATCTGTGTTTTATTTTAATGTGAATATATGTCACCACTTGGAAAACAATTTGTTATTCAAACCTGGTTAAAAATACCAGGAGACTGTTATAGATGCCAAATATTCTTTATTCAGGACAGTGTAACGTTACTGATGAAACATGGTAAGGTCAAAATTTTTTGACGATATATATTTTATTTACAAAATGCTATATGCTGCTGGTAATACCATATGAAAAGAAATAAAGTCAACTGATAATTGCCTCATATTTTTATCATCTGTTATATTCCTTTTTTCAGAATTACTAGTAGGCTTTATTTCCAATATAGAAAACAATAACACAAACTCTTTACAATTCACAAAATTCCACAAATTGAGGCCTTTGTTTGAGAAACTTTTGTGTAAAAGGAAACACAGGCAGCTGAGCTGGGGCTGAGGAATCAGGGCAGAGGGGGTGTCAGAAAAGCAAAGGGCGACAACTCACCTGCAAATTTGCACAAGCTAGTTGTAGAAAGAGGTGAATGGTTCTTTAAAGAACTAAATACTATTTTTAACAACTCAAATTTGAAGAAAGGAAGCATATCTTGGAAGAAATTACCAAATACTGAATGTAACTGGAGAAGAACAATTCTTTTTGTGAAAGTTAGCATCTCCAATGTAATAAACCAGCAGGAATCCGTATGACTACAACCCACCCGACTGGCAAACAGGGAGACCTAACCTGTTTGTTTAGCTTTTTTATGTATATATGCTTAGCTACACCAAGTAAGCTATGGAGTTAGTGGGGGCCACGTTAAGAGATGTGACTTCACTACAAAACTTTTACTCTGAAAAAGAGGTCATTCCAAATGGGGTTCACATGTTTGCTCTTTGGAAGCAGTATTGATGAGGTGCAGAGAAAATGGGGCAAAAACCATCACAACAGTTGGCTCTGGAGGAGAGCGGAAAGGTTCTCAGTGTCTACAAGGTGGCCAGTAGAGCTATAGTCCATGCAGCTCAGAAACTGAAGGCGTATTTGGAATTTGAAGACCCTCTGAGCAATCTATGCCCAGCTCCAAACACTCTGAATGAGATCTTCTTAATCCGCTTCATTACTTTCTGCCAGGGAAAGAGAGCTGATGGGTGGCTCACCACTGCCTAAGTGACTAAGCGCCAAGCCTTACTGTTTGGGGAGACTGGACTCGGACCGCCTGGGGATCCGAAAGGAAATAAGGCTTCAGCTGGCAGTACAGACTCTGCAGATGTCTTTCTTCTCTGTCTCCTGGGAATCTAAGCCTTGTGACCTCTCCCATCCAGAATCCCGGGTGGAGGAGTCTTCCAGGAAGAGAAGTAGATGTGATACTTGTGGACGAGTTCTGCAACCTGATAGGAGAGGATTGTCTGAGCCTGTTTATCATCTTCGGTGTGCCAGGAAAACCCGAGGACCTCAGAGGGGTTGTGCTGGACAGTGTCAAAAGTGAGCCAGTGAAGGACAGTCCGCCAGGAGGGAAAGCTGTGGCACGAGTTGTCCTGGAAACTGAAGATTGTGTCTCCATCAGAGAGCTGGTTGGAAACTGTATGAGTAAGAAAAGACGGGCTGAGAGAGGTGGGCAAGTTTTGTATTAGCTTCCTTTGAACTGGGTATGTGTGATGAGACTGGCCTGTAAGATGAAAAGAAAAAAACATTCCAATTAGCAACCTCACCTACATGTATCATCCCAGCGTGGGATCTTCCCATCCCCCACCCCTCACAGAAGGAAAATGATCACCTGGATCAAAACATAGCAGTGCCATGACCATGGGGAGAAAAAAACCCAGCCCATATTGTGGGGAACACACAATATAACTTAAATTCAATAACAAAAGGAGGAAAGGATAATAAAATCACTCTTAATGTTTCATGTACCAAAAAAAAGTGTCTTTGTTTGAAAGTCTAGCAAAGTGGAAAATGTCTTTTCACTGCTGCGGGTGGGAGGTGGGTGGGGAAGACTACACAAAAAGGTTTAATTACATTTACAAACCAGTTTGAATTCAGGTCTCCCAGGCAAAACCTCACCCCACTCTTCCGGCAGTCCCTGCCTTTACCCCCACTTCATCCCAAACTGCTTACTCTGTGTAGAGATGACTTGGTGGGATTCACCTTGTGACTCGCTGAGTGTCAGCTTTACCTGTGACTTAAACCCGTATGATAATCCCTTGTAATAATGATTAATATGTGGTTAGCATTTGCAGCATGGAAAGTGTAGTCACATATAAAAGCCACCTTTGCTTAAAAGCCTGGGTGGGATTATAACAGTACTGTAGGGGAGGAAAAATAATTTTCCTTATACCTTTGTAAAGGATAGAAGCAAAGACTGCTCAAAAGTGTAAATACAAGGTAGATTCATTCATTCAATTAACATGATTGCTCGATGCCTGTTACATGTTAGGCCCTGTTCTATGCTCCCTGCCAATCCAGCAGTAAAAAGAACCAAGTCCCTATTCTTGGGGAGTTTCCCTCTTAATGGTGGCAGAGAGACAATAAATGTACTACATACAAATATTTAAGATGCATATTGAAAATATACCAGGGGTGCTGTAAAGGAAAAAAAATAAATGAGTAAGAGGATAAGAGAGTGAAGGAGGTGCCTTTTCATTTGGGTGGTTAAGGAACGCCCCAGTGACGGGGCAGGGGGCCAGAGATCTGAATGAAGGGGGAGTGCCTCATGCAGGTGGTGGGAGAGGGTTTCGTAGGCACAGGGAACTGGGATTGCAAAGGGCCTGAAATGGGATCTGAGTGGATGTGCTTGAGGCTAGCAAAGGGGGCTGGTGTGGATGGAGCGGGCGGAGTGACAGGACATGAGGTCACGGAAGGAGCCGCAAACAGGACAAGCAGATAACTTGTAAGCACTCTGGGTTTGATTCTGAGTGATGGGGAGAGAAATGCCTTGGTCTGGTTTGCACTTTACAAATCTCACTTGATAGCTTGGTGGAGGAGACCTGATTGCAGAGAGGAAAGAATGGAAGTGGAGCCCAAAGGGGCAGCTAAGAAGCTATTTATAATAACCCAGAAGAGAGGAAAGAATGGCCTGGACCAAGTGGTAGAGGAAGAGGGGTGAAGGGGTCAGAATTAGGAGGAGTAGAAGGTAAAGCGTGCAATGAAACAGATGACAATTAGAAAGTTGTTATTTCCAAATTTCTTATATGTTAAGAATATGCCCTTTGCAAGGGCAGAAATCAATCTGTCTTTGACATACGTCACTGCAGGAAACCAAGAGATCAAGGGAAGCATTTTAGCCCTCTGCCTCAGAGAGTGGGCATCACAGGAGACATACCGTGAGGTTGTTAAGCAGTAATTATTGCGACTTTGTGCTTGGAAGGTTGTAATCCCCGTTAATGTTCCCTTGGCACACAGTGACCCCTGTCTGTAGCAAGGCTGAGTAGAGAGAGCTGTTGAGGTGGTGGTGCAGTGGAGTAAAAGGGACGTTCAACTCGGAATCAGGTGTGCACCGGCATCTCAGTTCTCTTAAGAGCAGGGTCTGGTGACGTAACCCTGTCTTTTCTCACCTATAAGATGGGAATGACTTCAACTAATTCAAAGGAGACAATGCTTGTGACAGCATTTTTTATACTGAAGTGTAAGCTTACCCAAATTTTGAATTCTGGTACAAATTCTAAGTATTCACACTATAAACAACTGGAATATATAAATCAGACTCACCATGGGTTTTTTTAAGGAAAATTAAAAGGTGAATTTTCTGCCGATTTCTTTTTAAAAGCTCAATTCTCATGTAAAAGTGCTGGTGCAGACGTGTAGAAAGTTAAGTGTTAGGGATCTCACCTCCACACCCATATCCACTCCCTCCAGTTTTCTGCTTATTCTTCCAGTTCCTGTATTGCATACTAAAAACATTTTATACCACCGGAATCATAGGATCCATATGTTTGACAAACATTTTTAAACGCACAGGACTCTTCAAAGTGCAGGTTGCTTGCCCATGAAACCAGAGTGGCTCATAGTTTGTTTGTTTTTAGTTGTTGTTACTTTACTTTTGTACATTGGGCTATTTGGTCATGAAGGCTGAAGAAATTATTATCATGAATGAGTGATTGCCCTTTTAAGATCTTTTCTGACTGAAATATGTAATTCTCAGTAACTCCTGTGTACATAATACATGCTTTACTCTTTACACTGCATGAAACATATTGCCTGTGATAGCATTACTAATGAGTTTTTAAGTTTTCATGTACAATGAACTTTATTGTACTTAATTCCCTGGAGAAAAAAATAAGTATTTCTCTGGCTCCTCTAACTCCAGTCGTATCTATCCATTTTAGTCTTAGGGAGAGAGTAAAACAAAAATACAAAAAACATGGAAGGCAGAGTGGGGACCTCTCTCAACATCTTGCTCAGAAATTGAGAATTCTCTGGATGAACTAATTCTATAAGGATTCATATTCCTTTTACCCATGAATTTCCATGGTATAGGTCTTGCAGTTTATTGTTAATAAAATATACAAACTTGAAAAAGTGGCTGCTGTACTGACCCTGAACTTAATTCCAGTGGCCACCATTTATGTTACGCCTTCTGAAGCATAATTCACTTAAGCGCAGCAGTCCTCAGGAACATAATATTGTTTCAGTTTTCCTGGAAACTGAAGCTCAGAGATGTTAAGTGGACTTGCCCAAGATCACCAAGCAGCACAGCTTGGCATCGAATCACACATCCATCTAAAAGGCCATCCTTTTAACATTAGAATCAGAGGAGGGGGAAGAACACCATGTGAAGATGGAGGCAGAGACGTGTTTACAAACCAAGGAGTGACAAGGATTGCCAGCACCATCGTCAGAAGCTAGGAGACAGGTGTAAACAGATTCCCCCTTGGAACGTTTAGAAGGAACCAACCTTGCCAACATCTGGATTTGGGATTTATAGGTTCTGGAACTTTGAGAGAATGAATTTCTGTTGTTTGAAGTCATTCAGTTTGTGCTATTTTGTTAGAGTAGCCCTAGGGAACTAATACACCATTCTTGGAATAATCATGGAATGCTGAGAGGCCAGGAAAGATGAGGATGGTGTACTTTTACCAATACTTGTCCCTATCATGTCAGTTATTCCCCCCACATACTGAACGATGCCCACGGCACAGTGAACGCTCACAGGTGGAATACTCTGGGCTGCCTGCACACCTCTGGCTCAACCTCTGCCCTACTTGGTATGTTTACCATGAATCAGTCACGTTTGTTTCTAGTTTTTGTTACTATACTTTTGTACTTTGGTTAAATATTATTCCTATTGATTGAAAAAAAACAGGATAATTTTATAAAGGATTGTATGTTAATCTGTCCTAGGCTAAAAAATAACATGCTCGTTAACGAATGACCATTATTTTCTAGATCTCCATGAGTTCCGACTTGTGATTCTAACCTGATGTACAAACCAGCTAACCACATCACTGACAGTTACAGCCCACGCACACAGGGCCCTTCACTGTATTCCAAAATTGCACCCAGACGTTTGTCTATATTAACTTGATTAGAATCACCCAGCCTAGAAATTGTACAGTCAAGTTTTTTAAAAAGTCTGTTTCAAGAGGCCATCTTTTTAACCAATATTGGATACCGCCTTTCCCCTTAGAATATATCACTCGCACCGGCTCAACACTTCCCTTCCCTGCTACGATTTAAAAAAAAATGTCTTTTGGTTTTCATTACTTTTTTTGTTTTGCGGGGGGGGTGCCTTGCGTATTTGACCGGCCCTGACTGCGCAGGCGCACGCGTTTCCGGTTTCCCCTGGGGGGCGGGGCAAGAGGGGCGGGCCTGCGCGGTGGCTGCCTCCGAGCCGCCCGCTTGCGCGCGGTCGCACCTGGTCCCTCCGGCTCGCCGTCCTCGCCGCCATGGCGGCCGCCGTGCACCCAGCCCGGCGGGCGCTGCAGCCGGGGGCTGGGACCCTGCGCGCTCTCTCCACCGCGGTGCCCGCGGCCGCCTGCGCTCAGAGCCGGAGCTCGAGTGAGTGTCTGCCGCGCCGCACCCGGGCGTTGGGGGGACGTGGGAGGGCGGAACACCAGGCCCGGGGTGGCCGCCGCGGTGGCGGAGTCGACACCGCACGGGGGTGGCCAGTGCGTCCTGGCAGCTCGTCGCCGGCCCGGCAGGGGGAGAGCCGCGGCTGCGGGCGCGCTCGCGGCGTGCGCGTCGCTCCCTTGCCTGCCGGGCGCGCGAGGTAGCTGCCCCGCCCCCCGAGGCAGCTGCGCCGCCCCCCGAGGCCCGCGCGCCCCGGCGCCCGCGCCCGAGGCCTCGGCACGGGGTCTCTCTAGTCCTCGGTGCTTGGATCATGATTGTTGAGCAGCGCTGAACCAGAGGCGTTCCCGAACCTTACGGGAAGCCCGCAGCTATCGTAGAACAAACTGCGTCTCTGAATCCCAGGCAGAGCTGTGCCATCAAACGGGGTGACCTTCACTCGAGAGGGATCATAGGGATGCGCAGGACCGTTCTTGCCCTGGAGGAGTCTAATGGAAACAGGTTTTTTTTTTAACGGCGCCGTACTGTGAAGGGTGAGATGCTGAAATAGAAGCTTGAATAGAGTCACGTGAGCATTGCGGAGCCCACGCGAGTCAGGAAGAGCTCTGTGAAGGAGGGGCAAGGCCTGTCATTCACCAGGTGCCCTGTACTGACCCATAAAAGATCACTAGTGTTCGCAGTACTGACAGCTCAGTCTAGGCCACCTCCCACTTAGGCAGGTTTCTTTACTGGTCCCTGTTTCTGCTCCTGCTCTCCTACATGGAATTCCCACAACGGAGTGAAGTGTTCAAAAAGGCAAATCTGATCTTGCCTCTCCCTTGTTCAAAGTCTACACGTGGTTTCTCATGGTTTTACTATAAATTATAAATTCCGTAATGTATCATAGTGACTCTTTATAGTCTTAACATG